TTTGGTCGATTGCATGAATTTCGTTAACCTCCAATCCCAAATTAAACCATGCATGCATGTATATATGCAGCAGGAATTGAAATAGAAGCTAGCTAGAAATGGAATAGGTACCTGTTGTAGGCTAGCTTTGGCCAACTCTTGTGTTGAAAGCCTGTATTCATGCATTACCCAATCGGTTCTCCTCCCAGCTGGGGCTCGCGCTTCATGATAAACCAGCGTCTTCTTCATGCCCACAATCTCTGAGTTATGGCGCACCGCTCTATCTCTCTCAGTTGCCGTCCAAAACCCTTTGTCTCTTGCCCTGTTTATCTTATTCCCATTTGTATATTTCTTCTCAGTACGGGTGAAAAAATGCCACTCTGTCTCTCTACTATTTACTGCACAAAAACCTGCCATATATGTGAATATTCAATTGCATGCAACCAATTAGATAATAATGATATCATTTACAAGTTACAACAAACTAGTATCATTTACCATAAACTAGCTAGATTATTTATTACAAATTCTTTCCGTGCAACGTACGGACGCAAATACTAGTATCATTTACAATAAACTAGCTAGATTGTTTATAACAAATTCATTCCGTGCAACGCACGTGCGCAAATATTAATATCATTTACAATAAACTAGCTAGATTACTTATAATGGTACCATGCAAGTAGCATAACTTAATTTTATTTTATTTTTTATTGTAAAGGTCTAGCTGATACACTTATCTTTGACCCACTTTGATACGTTTATCACTATTTATTTATTATTATTACTGTGTAAATTAGATTCTTACAATCACATACTGGTCAGATCATCACCCACACCGGCCCCACCAAATACATCTCACGTTTTTCTCCATTGTTTATCTTTGATCGTCCTATACTAGTGGACCAGATATTTTCCCTTGTTTAATATTATAGTAATCTAAAATTTAATTTTGATATCTTTATATAATAAATAAGAAATTCCAAATAATAATTTCATTTTTAGTTAAAAAAAAAAAAGTATGTGATTCATGAATATAAATTTAAAAAAAAAATTGAAAATGTAATGAAACTAACAGACCTTCAAATTAAAGTTAATATACAACATATAAGTGAAATGGTTTTATCAACAAATTAAAGCATGATCGATCAAAAAATTAAAGATGCTATGGATCGGAACCTTGATATGATGATATGTCATTTTTGCATTGATCAATATATAGATATATATTGATAGAGGAGAAATAAAATTGAAAGATGAGAAGATGGATGGAAGAGAAATTAAACGACCAGGAGGCTGGAGGACTAACCGTGAAGCTCCCACGGTTCGAAGCTGTAGATATCGACTTCCGTTATAGGCTCGAAACGGAAGGGCTGCTGAAACACCATACGGCGGAGGAAGTAGATCACCAACTCTTGGTCGGTGGGGTGAAATCAGAAGCCATGGTGGCATCACCATCGCCAAAGCTTCTTCGTGTTGTTGCTCCGCAGCCGCCATTCCCAAATTAAACCTGCAGAAATGAACTCAACAAAAGCGTAAATGGATCGGAGCAAATGAAATGGATAGTAGAGAGCTAGGGCCCTGGGGAAGGGTATTTATAGTGGCCAGGGTAGTGTACACGCTGAACAAGTATGATAACGGACACAACCATTTTCCGGTTCCCGCCCGTTAAGCAATTCATAAATGATTTTTAATTGGAAAAAAATGTCAAAATTAGACTCGAACTCACAACCAGAGTGCAACCTTCGTGCGAACAAAAAAAAAATAGAGTTTTTTTTTTTTTGAATGCAAAAAAAAAAAAAAAATAGAGTTTTTTTTTTTTTTTGAATGTTACTGGCCCTATTACATTGTAGTATCTGTTCATATACTTTCTCAACCTACTGAAACACAAAGAACCAATAACGCCTCCACTGAGGCTCGAACTCGTAACCTTCCAAATGGAAGTCCAACCCGGGTACCATTAGACCACATAGTCTTGGTAAAAAAAAAAAAAAAAAAAAAAAAAAAAAAAATAGAGTTTAGTAAAACACATTTGTTAAAATTCGGGGAAGACACTATGACAGAAACCCTACAGAATATTTCTCAATAAAATTTAAATTTGTGCTTTGTTTAGTAAAAATTTAATTTGTATTTTTATTGAAATATTATAAAGTATGTTTGAATTTTTAAGTTGGAAATATAAAATTATTTTAAAACTTCACATTAAAATTAATATAAATAATATGAGATAATTTTAATTAGAAAAAAATTACCAAATAAGCCTCATAAGGTGAATAAATAATTAAATTGAACCCTAACTAAAAATTACATCAAGATCCCTTAAATTAGTAATAAAGAAAAGTATAATTAAGTCTTAATTTAACATAGGGAAAATTGTACTTTTTCCCCCTAAGTTATATACTTATAGCACTTTTTCCCCCTTAATTATTTAAGTGGCTCTTTTTCCCCCTGAAATGTTAAATGGACATATTTACCCTTAAAATAAATATTTCATTTATTTTTCTTCTCTAACAAATTATTACTATAATTTGTTTCAAACCAAAGAGATACTATAGCAACCAAACCAAAATATTCCAATTACAATTTAGAATCAAACGCGATATTTAGAGTTTATTAAAATCGCGAACCGAAATGACCGGTTCATGTTCCGAACTGAAAAAAAACAAAATACATTTTTTGTTGAATTTAGACTATTTTAAAATAAAAAATAAAATTTTAAAATAAAGACGGTTCAAAATTGCGAACCGGATCCGGAACCACCGGTTCACGGTTCAGGGTCCAATTTTTTTGATTCATAAGTTTAATAAATAGAAATCTAAATATTGGGTTTTAGATCTGAATCATAACCGAAAACTTTTAATTCAATTACTATAGTGTCCGGTTCAGTTCGAACCAAACCGTGGTTATCACTACATATACACAATAATTTGTTGGAGAAGTAAAATAAATAAAATGTTTACTTTAAGGGTAGAAATGTCAATTTAATATATCCGGGGGAAAACCCACCACTTTAAAAATAATTGAGGGGACTAATGTGCTTACATAAATAATTGAGGAGAAAAAAGTACTATAAGTATATAACTTAGGGGGAAAAAGTGTCATTTTCCCTTTAACATATTTAGTAGCGTATCATTGATTTGACAAATACTGCATGATACTTTTATGCATATGTGGATCCAACTGTATAAATACGTGACAATTTTATAGGATCTTATTGTACAACTTTTTTTTTTTTGAAAACTGATCGTATTGTACAATTAATTAATTATTTTTTTTTAAAAAAAAAGTTTTTATAAACAATCACCGATTGTCTTTGAATTAGGATTTTACAAAGTATACGTACAATTGCAACATATTTGCCAAGTTAAATTAGGATTTAATTGTAATTTTTTCCTGGAACATTTTTTAATTAGAGAACTTATTTGAACTATTATACTATTTGTTCAACTTATATTATGGGCCTAGCTAACTCCTCTTTCCTTATAATAAAGGTAATACACATATAGATTCCTTAGAATAGTATATCAATCGTATACCATAGACTATTGGTATAAGATTCATTTTTAATATATTAAGTTTTTTTTTTAAAGGCTATACCTATAAATGAACATTAAGTCGTATATTAAATATATGAATACTGTACTTATCTTTGGTCTACATTGCAATGTAGACCAAAGTCTACGATATACTTCGTAATTTGTAAATATTTATGTCATGAATCCGGGTTCACCTTGCAAGTTGGACCCAAGTTAAAATACACAATTTATATATTAAATGTTCATAATTTACATATTGAATGTTCACAATTCAAATTGTGAACATTTAATATGTAAATTGTGAACATTTAGGATATAAAATTGTGAACATCCATATGTAAATTGTGAAATTTAGTATGTAAATTGTGAATATTCAACATATAAATTATGTATTTTTTAATACGGATCTACTGAATAATTTTCCATAATTGCTATAGTAATTAAGTAGTAGGTGGCTGCTAACGATATTTAGTAAGTAGTAGGCCAGGTAAGTGTTGCCCAGATAGGCAACTGCTGCGATTATGGTAATGATAAAATTAAAAGGTAAGTGCTAATATAAATTCTAAATACGGAGTACAGTGCACGTATATATTCAAATTTTACATTTGAATTTTTTTTTTTAAAAAAAAAAAGAGTTAATTCCATTTTTGGTCCTAGATTTATAGGTGGCAGATCACTTTTAGTTTTTTTTTAACAGAATATTCTTTTTTGATCATAGTATTATTGTGACATGACCAATTTTGATCATCTATATCTATCAACGAAATTGTTAAAATTTCGTTAAATACAAGAGCATTTTGATCTTAACGAAATTTAACAAATATCTAATTAATGTACATTTATAAATTTTGATGATGCTAATAATGTGTAACTATAGAAACTTTATAACTCCTAAAAAATGAAAAGACAAAAATGCCCTTGTTAAAAATAGAAAAACTTACGAGAAGGATTAAAAGTGTTCAAAAAACAATAGCCTGGAATGTAAAATGGTAAAAACGATAGTATGAGATTAAATTTGAAATTGTCACCAAAGACAAGAAACGTTCGGTAGAATTAACTCAATTTAAAAAGTCTCGAATATAGTTTAATTGGTTTAAACGTTTAATTTCTATCTTGATATTTTGTATTTATCATTTTTCTTTAGAAAAGAAGCATTAAACACGATCAACAAGAAAACAAGTACACACGAACTTGCACATTGCATGCACATGATCGAGACAAAATAATTATATATATCCTACACAAGAATTGAAGAAGGAAAATAATTATATATAATCAAGGATAAAATTGTAGCATAAATTAAGTATATATATTCCTACAATCAATAATTTTTTTTGAGTACTACTGACTCTATTACAATGTAGTATCTCTTCATATTCCAACCATCAATATTTTCTACCACATACCCAAAAATAATAATAACATCTAGAATCTAGAATGTATGAATAAAAAAAAAAGCTTAAGAAGTTTCTAAAGATAGATTATTTAAAAATGAAGATTCTTCAGGCGCCTAATCTCCTCCTCCAACTGCTCATTACTCTCCAGAAGGCTACTGATTTTAGCTTCTGACTGCTTCATTGAATCCATGAGCTTGTTCCTCTCTTCCTCCAAATCATTGATGAACTTCAAATAACCTGGAGGCAGTGACTTCTCAAGACAGGAGGAGTTGAAAGCGCCGCCGACAACCTTAGGGGGAGGAAGAGGATGAGCATTATGGTTTTCCAGATTTGGTTGAGCAGACAGGGAGAAATTTAATAGCCCAGTTGGTGGAACATCATGGGTGATATCTGTGGACGAGGATGAAGCTTCATCATCAGAAACACATTTGTCGCCGCCGGAGAAAAGATCAAACTTCACCCTGTTTTTGTTGTTGCCTGTAAACCCTAATTTTCTGACTGTACGAGGAACCATCGCATCATCGTTTTCCCAGTCTTCTTCTTTGAATGGCCCATATACGCCGCTACACGGTGGCCCCATCTCATTCTTGCAGAATATTTTACACAGTATAAACGAATCATCCTGCTATCCAACCAAAAAAAAAAAAACATTAAATTAAAGATTCTTAACCAAAAAAAAAAAAAAAAAAAAACATTAAAGATTCTTAAATTACCTGCTCGAGTCCTGCTTCTAGAAGTCTGTATTCATGCATAACCCAGTTGGTCCTCCTCCCATTAGGGGGTTTCCCGGCATGATAAACCAGTGTTTTCTTCATACCTACAATTTCACCCTTATGGCTCACCTTTTGATCCTTCTCAGTCGTCTTCCAGAACCCTTTCTGGGTTGATGACTTGTTAAGCTTCGACCCTTTATACTTCTTCTCCAAACCCACGAAAAAGTACCACTCTTGGTCTGTGGTATTCACTGCACAAAACGCTGCAAATTAAATGAAATGAAACCAAATTTAGAACAGTACAATATCACTCTCACATACAGCACAAGAATTGCACGTACTAAGCTAGCTGCAACATTATTTATCTAAATTTTAAAGAATAATGCCATCTATCTATCCAAAAGATGAAAGACAAAGCGTACCGTGAAGCTCCCATGGCTCATGCTTGAAGATATCGACCACAGCAATCGCCTCCGCATGGAATGGCTTCCGGCGGACCTTACGGCGGAGGTAGTAGACCACCAGCTCCTCGTCGGTGGGGTGAAATCTGAAGCCAGGAGCCAACCTCGGCCTAGGCAAAGAAGGAGCCGCAAGACCAATTTTCTCCATTTTCCCAACAAACACTCCTCGTGCGTAAAGTGTATATATATATAGGCTTCCGTAAAATAGTTACCCTATCAATCAATTTTAGTTTATTTGACCGCTTGTTTGATTTGGTAAAATAATCTATTGCTAAAATTCAAAAGCATATTCAAAGTAGCTTTTTCGATCAGCTTTTTGAAAAAAAAGTCATTTTTGTATGTAATAAGCTAACAGGTTAGCTAACCGTCAATTTACCAAACACTTTTCTACAATCAGCTAATGCTATCAACTAGTCAAACTCACCGGCCCAATCAGCTAATAACCATTTACCAAACATCCCTATAGACAAAAAGGGATGCTGATTTTAAGTCTACCCTAGTATGCTATTGAACAGGATTTTGGAGGCTTAGGATTAAGAAAACTAAATGTATGTATATGTGAAGAAAGAAGGAGATGGAAGAGTGAGAATGGAGCAAATGGGAAGAGAGGAAGAGTGTATTTATAGTGGAGAAAGTGAATGTACGGGACAGCGCCGCAACAACCGTATATTTTCCCGTTGTCGATAAGCAATTAAGCCGCGGATATATATGAAACAAAATTACCTAAAAAGAAAATAATGATTCATGATTTCTTTTTTTGGTAAAATGATTCATGAGTTTAGTGGAATGAATGAATGAATTGAATTATTTCTTACTTTATTTGACCCGCCGTTATAAATGAATTAACAAATTAATTCATCTTTATATTTAAATTTAAAAGAGCACAGATATTTTAACAAAACAAATAATGTTAAATATATATAGTACAGTGGATCTAGGTAATGACCAAATAGGAAACCACGCTTATGGTAATAATAATAAAAGCAATTGGTTATAAAAATCATAAACGTTAATTTATATTCCAAATGTGGATTTGAAAATTTTAAAAAAGATCTTGGTAATATCTTTGAAATTTAATTATTTGCTATTATGAGAAATTTACATTTTCGTTTTCTATTTTATAGAATAATATTACTTTAATTGGCACTTGATTTTGATAAAGAAATTATTTTTTTCCTAACTTAGTGAATTCTCATATTGCTACTACATTCAAGTAATTTAATTCACTATTTAAATTTTAATCAGTTTGATCCATGTAGCTATACTAGTTTTAAAAATTGAGGACAAAAACTAATGTAACTAGATATTCTAGTGTAATTTACTTGATCAAAATCATTTTAGAAAAATAATACTCCATTCATATTATTTTATGTGTCTAATTCAATTAACGATATTTGATTGAAGTTATTTATAATTCAATTTTTCAGTATATTAAATTTATTATAATATATAAACTAGTATTTGCGCCCGTGCGTTGCACGGAATGAATTTGTTATAATATTTTAAAAATATTTAGATCGATATACAATTGTATAAATTATAACATCGAATATTATATAATATAATTGAAGAATTGAGTTGCACCGATTATGTTTTCTGATGTTATCAATGCTTGAATTCGAGTAAATAGTTGCCCAATTAATAGCTAATGTGTAGATATACGCATTCGGTGCTGCAACTTTAGAGATTTTATATATCAGTGTTTAGAATTTGTATTAATTGGGCTAATTATTATTTCATCACAAGAATGCATAATAACACACACACACACACTAAAGTTCATATAAATTAAACGCAAGAGAAAAAAAAACAAAAAAAAAACAAAAAAAACCCCGAAGTTACTACGCTAAAACTTGGCAAGATATCTCAGAATTTGATAATCATTTTCCATTTTTAAGTATACATTCATTAGATATTAGTTAATTTTCATATAAAATTTTGTTACCAATTAAGCTTTATTAAAAAAATTTACCAATTAATTAAAATTCATTCTTCCAAAAGGCTGAACTTCATATTAATTTGGGTGGAAATGTTGAAGATGAGAATTTTACTTTTATTAATAGTATAAATTGGTATAAATAATAATTAATAAATTATTATTTCTTTATAAAATTACGCAACTTTTCAAACGAATTTTCTCATTTGTTACATAGAATTTGTATCCATTATTTTCACAATTATAATAATTTAATTATTCTCAGAATTTTGTAACCATTTTCCATTTTTATGTACATATTGACTTTAATCTGTGGTAACAATTCATTAGATATTAGTTAATTTTCATATAAAATTTTGTTACCAATTAAACTTTATTACTTTTCACTAATTAATTAATATTCATATTAATTTTGGTTGGAATGTTGTAAAGGGAGATTTTACTTTTATTAAAGTCATTTCGCTAAGAACCTGGAGGGTGTGGTGGAGTGGAAGGGACTCATTCATCCTTATTAACCAAATGTGAGCAACTTTAAATCTCCAGGCCAATCATAGAGCATAAATGATATTGCAATAATTAATTTATTTATGATCATTTGGTTCACATATTTGATTTATTTTTTTTTTTTTCTTTAATTATTATTGTTGTAAACAGAAATGATAGTGTAGTAATTTTTTTGAATGTTACTAGCTCTATTACATTGTAGTATCTGTTCATATACTTTCTCAACCTACTGAAACACAAAGAGCTAATAACGCCTCCACTGAGGCTTGAACTCACAACCTTCCAAACGAAAGTCCAACCCAGGTACCATTAGACCACATAGTCCTGGTGATAGTGTAGTAATTAATTTATGGTGTTTATCAAATTTTATTTTTTAAAAATATAAGATTACACATGTTATGAGGGGTTAAAAAATATTTTAAAATTATTTTTTATTATTAAGTAATTTTTTTTTTTTAAAAAAATAATTTCCACCAACTCAAACACTCCCTTAGTCTCCCATAAAAAAACTGATAAAGAAAAGTCATATCATTAAGGAAATTAAAACTAATTAAAGTAAATCTAATCATGTTATATTTATTTGTAACTGTATATTAATTTCATTTTGAAATCATTGGATCACATATTTGAATTATTTATTTTTTTCTTTAACTATTATAAACAAAAAATTATGATATTTATCAAATTGTATTTTTTTAAAAAAAAATATAACATTTACACATGTTATGAGGGGTTACAAAATATTTTAAAATTTTTTTATTAGTATGTATTTTTATTTTAAAATATTTTCCATCAATCCCAACACTCCCTTAGCCTCCCATAAAAAACTGATAAAGAAAAGTCATTTCATTAAAAAAATTAAAACTAATTAAAGTAAATCTAATCATTCTATATTTATTTGTAACTGTATATTAATTTCATTTTGAAATCATTGGTTCACATATTTGAATTATTATTTTTTCTTTAACAATTATAAACAAAAATTATGATATTCATCAAATTGTATTTTTTAAAAAAATATATAACATTTACACATGTTATGAGGGGTTAAAAAATATTTTAAATTATTTTTGATTAGTATGTATTTTTATTTTAAAATATTTTTCAGTAATCCAAAAGTCCCTTAGCCCCTCATAAAAAAACTGATAAAGAAAAGTCATTTCATTAAGAAAATTAAAACTAATTAAAGTAAATCTAATCATGCTATATTTATTTGTACACTACAAAAAACTATCTTTTTACCGACATACATTTAGCGGCGGTTATATATAACCGCCTCTAAATGAGTATTTCGCGGCATTTATAACAACCGCCTCTAAATTTTGTACTAAAATTTAAAAACTTAAACCACGATAATTTGATGCGTATTTTAGTGGCGGTTATATGACCGCCGCTAAAACTCAAATTAAAAAATATATATTGAAATGGTTTTATTCTTCAACAGCTCGTTTCTCCCAAATTCTCCCAAACTCAAATTCCACAATTCTTCAACCGCTGGTTTCTTTTATAAGCTGAGACTGTCCAATCCTTCCTAAATCTCAAATTCAATCGCTCGTGTGTCTCAATCTCAAATTGTCCAATCCTTCCTAAATCTCCAATACCTGAGATTTCTAGAACACGAGGAAGCTGACTATGGAGTTCTCTACTGAATTCGATTACTGAATCGTTCATTCAATTCCCAATTCTTCAACAGTCGACAGAGTTCGACGGAGTTCATTCAATTTTTCATTGGATCAGACAACGGAGTTCAAACACGAGGAAGCCCAAGCCGACGAAGTTTGATTTCTTGTTCGTCGCTGCCGGAGTTCAATTCCAAAATAGTTTGATTACGTTCATTCAGTTTGCTGCTCAGTTTCACTTCCGATACATTTTGCTGCTACGGTAACTGTACTAGTCTACTCCTTTACAGTTTGCTGTTGTTCAATTACTACTTTACTACTACAATATATTTGAATATTGTATCTAACAAATGGATATATGTAGTTTTCGAAAAAAAAAAAAAAGGATATATGTATGTATAGAATTGAACCTGGAATTGTGTTAGTTATAATTTGGACACATTTCTGATCCCTTAACCCTAATCCCTCATAGGCCAAATTGTATAGAGTTGAATTTTGGACATTTGATTTGAGGGCACTTGAAATACTTGTGTTTTAATGAATTGGTTTTACCATCAAATATTGTAGTTATACACATTATGATGCTTGAAATCTGCAAAGAAATTAAATAATAAAATAAAATTTAGAAAGCAACAGAGGAAAAATATGGGAGGCTTAAGAAGGATACAAGAATAATACTTTAGTATAAAGAGGCAAAGACAAAGCTCCTGCCAAGCGCCAAGCTTAAATGAATAATACTCTGGTCGTGTTGGACTTGATAGCTGAAAGAAGGAGCCACCGAGAGGCCATTCCCGACCAGGTAAGCCGAGAGAAGGTTAGCTTCCTCCTGGCCTTGATAGAATGGTGGGAGAGAAGTATAGAGAGTGATAACCCTTTGAAATAAGTTGAAAAACACTTTGACGGCAGTTAAAATGGCAAACCCTTAGTCCTTATTAGTTGTTTTGAGATTATTGAAAGGGGCTTACTTTAAAAGTGTTTATTTTAAACTGATTATCAAAACTGGGCCTAAATCCTATAGTTGCATAACCAATGAGCTCTCAAGAGCTTGAAATGAGTTTAGATATGATTGGCAATCTTTTTTATTTTTTTCGTTGTTTGTAGTTGGCAATTGCTTAAGCATTTGTTCCAAACAGAACAATCAGATGGGGTTTTGGTCATATTTAGTATATACACATTATCCTTTGAAGTTATCTGTTGTCTGTTGAATATGACTAAAATTAGACTTACCATCATCAACCCTCGTCCTCACTTCATCACAGCCTATTCGTAGAAAGTAGCAAAGGAAGAAGACATTGCAAATCAGAGCCTAATCGTAGAAAACAGCAGAAGGAAGAAGACATTGCAGCATATTTTTTCCAGGTTCTCCTATTCTATATCCTCTCTCTCTCTCTCTATATGCATATATTTTTGTTTGTATCTAAATTCTGATTAAGATTTGCACTTTTTTCATTTTTAAACTACATTTATTCAGAAGGATTAGTAAATCATTTCTATGAATTCCTATCTTTTGCGCGAAATTTCAGTGAGCTGCCGATTTGTTTTTGAATTTTGAGTGTCAATCTCGCTAATTCCTATCCTTTAGCACAACTATTATATTTATTAGAGGAATAAAAATAATTCTATAGAAACACACATCTGTTAGATAGATTTGGAACAAATTATCTTGAGGATAGTATTGCTGCAGGAGAATGCAAAATTTTGCATTCTCCTTAGGGTAGCAAGTCCATTGCTTTCTCAATTGGCAACATAGTGTTTCCCTAATAATAACTTCCTGGAATGGAGTTATTAATACAAGTTCTTTGTGTATGTATTTGGTGTAATATATTTACCAGGTAATTCTTATATTCTCTTATAGTCCTATCTATGAGATTTTGTACATTATCATGTGCACTATTGTTTTTCACCCTTTATTTGTGTTGATGTTAAAAATTTGATCAATTGAGCTATTTGTTTTAATTTTAGCTCTTTCTGTTGAATGCTTTGAGTAAGCGATAAACTCATTAAGATTCTGATGAAATTTGAACATTTTGAAGTCATTTATCCATAAGCTTATTTTATTTTATTTTTAATTGAAAAAAGATTTGTCATTTATCCACAAGCTTTTTTATTTTATTTTATTGAAAAGAGATAAATCATTTGTGTTATTAGGTTTAGAATGCAGTACCTCTGGAGCAGCTCTCTCTCTCTCTGTCTCACACACTTTAGGGAGGATTTCAGCTCTCTATAAATGCAGGGCTTGAGGACAATTGATATGGAAGGTCCCATATATCTCAACCTCTAATTTCTAGGTTTCCTAATATATAGGATTCTCAATATCACAGAATATTCTATAACAATTTGGTACTCCATGCAATTTTTAAAACTATTCAGACTTATTCAATAGACTTTTCAATTAATTAGATCTTCAAGTTGGAAACAGAAACATGTAATGCATAAAGGTGATGTAATAGAGAAGTACAATTTTGTTAGGGCACATGTCCTAACACTAGTCTTCTCAAAAGTGTATAGTAGTGGAAAAGAAGAACAAATTTAAGAAATGGTGATCTTATCAAGCTTCTATTTGATTGTGATATAAAAATTCTCAGTATAGTCCAACTTTTTTCCCATTTGATCATTTACAATATCAACATTTATTTCTTTCTCATACGCTAATTATATGCTTTGTTATTCTGTTTGTAGCTTTGTTTTTGCCTGACTGCCTATTGAATATTCTGATTTATTTTTAACACTTGACTAAACATGCACTACAACAAATTATTTGTGAAGTGTTAATCTGTGTTGTTTTAGGTGGAATACTCAATATTGCTTCGCCTTCTTTTTCTCTCCCCTTGTGGTAAAGCAAACATGGTGATTCGTGGAGGAGAAACATCACTATGAAGTGAACCAGAGCTGGCACACCTGCAACCCCAAGGATCCATCTCCATCTCTCAGGTGCCAATACTTTTTGTTTTCTTTCCTCAGTTTAACTTTTCTACAGGAGTGATCTACTTTGGTGACAATCCATCTTTCTTTCTCTTTGTAGATCTTGTATGCTAAATTACTAAAGTTTGACAAATCTTCATATATATAGAGATTATGCATGGATAAATCTTGGATTAATTTGTCGCGAAATACTTTGGAATATATGGAAGGGGTAAACAAATTAATTGATTTTGCAATTAAGCATAGATGTATTGAAGGAAGAATATTGTGTCCTTGCGTGAAGTGTAAATTTAGGTATTGGTTATATAAATTTGACGTGAAAGAACATTTAATTTGTGATGGGATTGTACCTGGATATGTTCATTGGATTTGGCATGGTGAAGGGGGATCTTTAGACACTTCTAGTAGCACTCCTAATGTTGTGTCTACTAATGTGCAAATTGAGAATCCTGAAGTAAATATCATTCATGATGCTTTTCCACATATTTTACATGGTATAAATGAGCCTTCAACATCACAACAAACACTACTTGGGGATGGAGTATTACCTAGAGAGGATAGTGAAGACAGTAAAATATTTTATGAGTTGCTCAAAGATGGAAATCAAGAGTTGTATGAAGGGTGTAACAAGTACTCAAAATTATCATTTTTGTTAAAGTTGTACCACATCAAGTGCTTGGGTGGAATAAGCAATAAAGCAATGTCTATGATTTTTGAATTGTTAAAAGATGCTTTTGAACAAGCAAGGCTTCCTGATTCTTTCTATGAGGCAAAAAAAACCATCAATAGACTTAGTCTTAATTATGTTAGCATTCATGCATGTCCAAATGATTGTATGCTATACTGGGGAGATGATAAAGCTACAGAAACATGCAAAGTATGTCATACTTCAAGATGGAAACAACCAAACGGGAAGAATGGTGGTGATGTGCGTTGTGGTAGAAAGTTTAAAAAGAAACCTTCTAAAGTGTTGCGTTACTTCCCTCTTAAGCCTAGGTTGCAACGGTTGTTTATGTCTTCTAAAACTGCTGAATATATGAGATGGCATGCTATGGATATTAACAAAGATGGGTTGATGCGACATCCTAGAGACTCTGAATCATGGAAGCGATTTAATGAAGTCCATGTAGAATTTACTGCTGACCCACGAAATGTAAGACTTGGGTTAGCTGCGGATGGTTTCAATCCATTTGGACATCAAAGTTCTACACATAGCACTTGGCCTGTGATTTTAATTCCTTATAATTTGCCTCCATGGATATGTATGAAACAAACCTCATTTATTTTGTCTATGATTATTCCTGGGAAAAAGATGCCAGGGAATGATATAGATATTTACATGCAACCATTGATTAAAGAGTTAAATGAGTTGTGGAGTTTTGGAATAGAAACATTTGATGCTTCACAGGGTCAGTTTTTTAAACTACATGCAGCTCTAATGTGGACAATTAGTGATTTTCCTGGGCTAGGTAACTTATCTGGGTGGAATACACATACAGGGCTAGCATGCCCCTCATACAACTTTGATTTTTTGCCAAATCGCCTTCCACATAATAGGAAGTGGTGTTTTATGGGTCATCGTCGGTTCTTAGGGTCTTCTCGTCGGTATAGACATCACAACTCTAAATTTGATGGAACCAAAGATTTGAGAAGTCCGCCAAAGATGTTGTCAGGTTCAGATGTTTTGAATCAGCTTGCAGATATCAATATTACATTTGGGAAAAACCTAGAAATGACTGAGAAGGGGAAAAGATCACGAGTGAGAAGAGTTGAAGATGGTGATACGCAACAATGGAAGAAGAGAAGTATATTTTTCCAACTCCCTTATTGGGAATTCAATTTGTTGCGCCACAACCTTGATGTCATGCATATTGAAAAAAATGTTTTTGACAATGTGTTGTTTACTTTGCTAAATGACGCTGCAAGATCAAAAGATAATCTAAATGCTCGAATGGATTTAGTGTCAATGGGTATAAGGGATGACCTTTGGCCTAATGAAAATGGAAAATACTCTCCAAGTTGTTTTACAATGACAAATACAGAAAAAGATGTATTTCTTGCAACACTAAAGAGTGTATTACTGCCAGATGGTTACTCAAGTAATATTTCAAGATGTGTTGATTTGAAGAATCGCAAGATACATGGATTGAAAAGTCATGATTGTCACATTCTTATGGAACATCTATTGCCAATTGCCATACGTAATCTATTACCAGATCAAGTTTGTATGGTTTTGGTAGAATTGGGTTCTTTTTTCAGACAAATATGTAGTAGAGTATTAAATGTCAAAGAGCTTGATAACCTTCAAAGTCGACTTGTGCTAACATTATGCCATATGGAAATGATATTTCCACCATCATTTTTCACAGTAATGGTGCATTTAGTTGTTCACCTTGTTGATGAGGTTAAGCTTGGAGGTCCTGTTCCATACCGATGGATGTACAGCATTGAGAGGTGAGTAAATTTTGGATATTTAAAGTTTTCTTTATTAGATTATCGATAAATGCACCTACTAATGTCTTATTTCTATATATTTAGGTACTTAGGACATTTGAAGTCTTTTGTACGCAACCGAGCAAACCCAGAAGGTTCTATAGCCGAAGGTTATATTGCTGAAGAATGTCTTACATTTTGCTCAAGGTATTTAGAAGGTGTTGAAACAAGGTTCAACCGATCTAGGCGTGTTGATGATGTGCCATTTTATGCTGAAAATATTCAAAGCAATATCTTCAAACAAATTGGTCGACCAGTAGGCAGTGTTTCAACTTTCCAACTAACTGATATAGAGAAACAACAAGCACATCGATATGTGCTAATGAATTGCAAACATGTTGACAAATACGTTGAGTAAGTAACATCCAAAATTATGTATTTTGGTGAGAAATAACATATTATTTCAATTGTTACAAATGTGTTGTTATCACATACAGGGAATTTACAGTTTTAACGAAGAGACGACTAAGAAGGCGGACGAGATCTTCTGCTGAGATTCAAAAAATAGTTAATAGAGATTTTTCCAATTGGTTTGCAAAGAGAGTAAGAATTTCACCTCAAATCAATATTTTACTTCAAAATTAATTTATTAATACAATATCACTATGTTTTAGATCCTAAATAATGACAATCAAGAGCAAGTGCCAGATGACATTATGTTTTTAGCAAGAGGTCCACTTACTCATGCTAGAGGATTTTCTTCATATAACATTAATGGTTTAAGATTTCGAACAGTGAACCGAGAAGAAGGACTGAAGTCTCAAAATAGTGGAGTATTTGTTATTGCTGGAACTCCAAGTGTTGCAAGTAGTCGTGATACTCATGGGGTTTTTGGAGATGTTGCTTATTATGGAAAATTGGTTGACATCATTGAACTCAATTACTACAGCAAATTTGTGGTTACACTATTTAAGTGTATATGGGCTGATACGACTACTCCAAGAGGGATAAGAAGAGATCATTATGGCTTCACCGAAGTTAACTTCTCTAGAACAATACATGTTGGAGATAGTATAGATGATGAACCATATGTGTTAGCTGAACAAGCTCAGATGGTGTTTTATGTCACTAATGAGATGGAGAAAGATTGGAATGTTGCAATACCTTTCAAACCAAGAGACTTTTTTGACATGGGTGAAAATGCTGACAGTAGCGTATATGATTGTACTTCAATCTCAAGTGAAAACCAAAATCCTGTGGTTTTAAATGAGATTGAAAATTTGCAGTTAACAAGAGAAGAACTAAATGATGAAATAACCACTGTTGTTGATAGTGGAATTGAAAGAGCAGATAATGATTAAATTGTACAGGTCAACATGCTTGCTTTCCTAGAGCCTTGCTCTTTTTCTTCTTATTTTTTGTTCATTTCTGTTTTATTCTTTGAGATCACTAACCCTTGAACTGAATTCAAACTGAAATTTGTTTTTTATTTGATGTGTAGGTATGCTAGAGTAGAAGAACTCACTCGATTATGCAAATAATCTACTTTCTTCCAAATGGCAAGGTATGCATCAAATTACATACTTCGATTAGTCTAGTGCAGCCGTTCATGGTGGTTATAAACTGATTATGTATGTGTGTTTCTTCATGATACAGAGTTTTATAGTTGGTTCTATATCTGGTATTTGCAGATTTTATGAACAGGATATGCTATTTTCATTCAAGGTTGTCTTGTTTTCTGTTCCTTTTTGACGTTTTGTTTCTGAACCTCTATGTTCTTTATATATCTTCCAACTGTTTCTGAGTAATCTTCTCAAGTTTGTTTATTCTGTGATTGATGATAAATAGTGTCTTGTATTGGAAGTACATGCAGTTCAGCCAAGGGTGATTGGCTTTTAAGTTCGGGATAAAACTTTTCGGGTGATTAGCTATTAAGTTTGGGGTTCAAATTTATGTATTCAAAGTACTGTATTTTGTGATTAAATACAAATAAATCATGCTTGACTGTGTAAAAAATGTACTGTAGGTTTTTGCAGGTGGATTCATATATATGTGGAGAAGCTGAAAATATACAATAGAAACATGGTTGCAGGTGTTTATGTTGCAAGAGAAGCTGGAAGAGAAGGATATGAAAATTAGAAGGATAAAGAAAGAGCCACATGAGGAACCCATCACTACAGAGGAGATGAATGAGCTCTCTTCTGATGTAAAATTGCCACCAATGAGCTTGGATGTTGAATTGATTTTCTTTTAATATGTAAACTTCTTTGAATATTGTTAGACATTAATATTTGGCAATACAAGTTACATTTGATTTTCATCTAAATTAAATGTGTATTTATTTGTGTTTGCAATGCACATATGAAAGTAGATGTTTACAACAAAAAAAAAGTAATTTAATAACAATTATAAATTTTAGTAGCAATCCCTATTAGATGAGAAAATACAAACAAAAAAAAAAAAAATTAGCGGCGGTTTTAAAACCGCCGCTAACATTTACCAAAAAAATATTAAATAAACATCAGCGGCGGTTTAAAAACCGCCGCTAACACTTAAAGTAAATTTTAAAGAAAAATTAGCGGCGGTTCGAAAACCGCCGCTAAATGCATTTAAAACCGTAAATATTAAATAAATATTAGCGGCGGTTTACAACCGCCGCTAAATGCATTCAAAACCGCCGCTAAATAAATTTGTCATGAATTCCCGCGGTTGTAGAAAACCGCCGCTAAATGCTTCGCGACACACTATTTAGACACGGTTGAATAACCGCCGCTAAACACACTAGTGGCGGTTTGGAACCGCCGCTAAACGCAAAAAAAAACCGCCGCTAAATGCCTGATTTGGTGTAGTGGTAACTGTATATTAATTTCATTTTCAAATCATTAGTTCACATATTTGAATTTGTTTTTAGTTATTATAATTTATAAACAGAAATGGTAGTGTACTAATTAATTTATGATATTTATCAATTTTTTTTTTAAATATAAGATTTACACATGTTATGAGGGGTTAAAAAATATTTTAAAATTATTTTTTATTATTAAGTATTTAAAAAAAAAAAAAAATCACCAACTCAAACACTCCCTTAATCTCCCATAAAAAACTAATAAAGAAAAGTCATATCATTAAAGAAATTAAAACTAATTAAAGTAAATGTAATCATGCTATATTTATTTGCAACTGTATATTAATTTTATCTCACATCTTTGAATTGTTTATTTTTTCTTTAACTATTATAAACAAAAATTATGATATTTATCAAATTGTATTTTTTTAAAAAAATATAACATTTACACATGTTATGAGGGGTTAAAAAACATTTTAAATTATTTTTATTAGTATTTATTTTTATTTTAAAATATTTTCCATCAATCCCAACTCTCCCTTAGCCTCCCATAAATTAAAAACTGATAAAGAAAAGTCATTTCAGTAAGAAAATTAAAGCTAATTAAAGTAAATGTAATCGTGCTATATTTATTTGTAACTATATATTAATTTCATTTTGAAATCATTGGTTCACATATTTGAATTATTTATTTTTTTCCTTAATTATTATAAACATAAATGATATTGTACTAATTAATTTATGATATTTATCAAATTGTATTTTTTAAAATATAGTGTTTTACCCAGAATTTTTTTTTTGTTATTATGAATTTAAAATTAAAATAGAAAAAAATAAAAAGATGTTAAAATAAGCAATATAATAATATAGTTGGACTTTTATATATTTGGTCAAGTATCTATTTTCAGAACATACAAAATTAAAATTTAAATATTGTATGGTCAATATAATCTCTAATCATGTACATATTTAAATAAATTTATAGAAAAAAATTATAAAATTAAATTGATTTATTCCAAATTGTATTTCATATATGTTATAATTCTAAAAATATGAATAATAATAACTAAGAGAATTGTACTTAGAAATCAATAAAAATGTAAATTCTAAATTTTATATGAATAAATATAAACTCTAATCAAACACATATCCTTATATGATTGCATAATACATTGTATATACACATAATATTTATTAATATGTATATAGAAAATTTCTATTATATAATTTCATTAATTATAATTTGTATTAATAGATTTATACTTAAAAATTATATTTAAATTTTTAAAAAGTGTATGTATGTATATTTAAAAAATTATAAATATTCATGTTTTGTTAATTTTCTAATTTCATTTCTTTAATTACATTTCATATTTTATTAATTATAATTTAATTAAATTGTCACAAATATTTCTATGGAAGAAATCTTATATTTCTCAATTTCATTAATTATATTAATTATAATTACCAAATATTGTGGCAATTACTATAATAATTTCATTAATTATATTAACTTTAACACTTGTTCTCTTCCAATATTTAAATACATTACCATAAAGTTACCATAATAATTACACAAAATAATGAAAGAAAAATTATGAGAATAATTACCTTTAATAAAAATTAGGAAATTATATTAAAAAATAATCTATATATTAAGGTAAGTATAATTATTTTGTGCCAATCATATTATATATATTAAGTGTAAAAATATATATGTATGTAAATTACCATTACCATAATAATTACACCGAAAAAAGTGACAATACATAATTATTAGACAATAATATTAATAATTAATTATTAAGGCAAGTATAATTGATTTTGTACTAATAATATTATACATTAATTACTAATAATACTATACTAAAAGCAAGGAGTCTATATAGTACAACTCTTTTTTCTTAAAAGTTAAAAAGGACAACTCCGGAAACATTGGGTGGCTGCTAACTGTCAATCACCCTGCTTTTATTTTATTTTATATTTATTTATTCTAGGAAACCTTAAAAAGAAAAAAAAAAATTGTACCAATAATTTTACTCTAATCATCCAACCATGATATACGACATAGTACAATGTAGGGGAAACAAAATAGATTTGAGATGATTGCATTCTTTGTATTTAACAAACTGTAGCATGGCATTAGACATCAGTTGTGTACTAAATTAAAAAAATAAAAAAATATCAAGATGGTCACAATAGCAAACACTCAAAGGATCAGGGGCTACACAATCCTTAATTGTCTTGCATGTCAAATCATTATTCTTCTTTGCTTCACCACCACTCCAAATACCTACAATCATTATATCAACTCACAATATTAGTGTTTTCACACGTCTAATAAGCATGTATGTTCTCTCTTATATTTTTAATGTAGACTCTTAAAATATATCATTGTGAAGTTGAAGATCTGATTTTACCAGAGAATTTAATTTAATGTCGGTATATGATATACCCATAGTAAAATATTTTATGGCAATAAGAAAGCTATAAAAGATGAATGGACTTACATGAAGCAACCACCAACAGAAGGAAGAGACTTGAAAATAGTTTGAAACTTGGAAGCCATGAAGAAGATGATATTGGTCTAAAGAGATTAATAGTGATGATGATAATATATATATATATATATATATATATATATATATATATATATATATATATATATATATATATATATATATTGGTTAATATTTTGACTGAATTGGTAAAAAAGGATATACTTTTGGTAACAACTTAATTGGAGGAATTAATTAAGACAAAATCGTTGGTGTATATTGCATTATTATTATTATTATTATTATTATTATTATTATTATTATTATTATTATTATTATTATTATTATTATTATTATTATTATTTGGATATTACACAAATGCCCTTAAGTTTTGGGGGGTGGGGGGTATTTGGGATCCTTTTGTATTTTTCCACAACGCCACATCTATTAGCCACTCCAGCCGCACTGGTGATCGAATTTCGGGATAGCATAGAAGATGGATGTTTGCACATACTAATCCCGGGTTTGCTATACAGTTTAGTCAGACACTGATGTCTTGAATCAACCCAAAGCTTCCTTTGTGCCACAAATTCATAAAAATTATGATCTCTATATCGAACACTTGAACTAAATCGCCTTATTGACCTCAAACACTCCCAACAAAATCTGGTTTTTATTTCTACCCCTTCAACACCCAAATACCCTTTACATTAACACAACTACACCTAACCATTACTCTCTACTACTCACAGGAATATGCTCACTTTTGCAAGAGTAGAGAACTAAAACTAACAAAAGTCAAAAGATTCAATCTTTATAACACAATCAAACAGTTTTTGAAAACTTAATATAAAATTTCAGCCAATAAAAGAGCATGACAATAATGAAAGAGTATAGAATACAAACTCAGTATTCACTCAATTTGCTCATTAATTTCGATTCTATGAGCAATAAATCCCACTTTCAAATATAAATTAACATAATCCATCCAATATAAACAAATTCAAGAAATCGCACTTATTCAAGAAATTAAAAAAAAAACAAAAAAACAAAAAAAACAAAAACAAAAACAAAAACAAAAAAAGGTACAGTTCTCCCCAAAAATTAAAGCAAATAGAAGAGAGAAAGTCATAGGATTCACCGGATTGGCTGATTGGGCAAAGATCAAATTGATCTTCCAAGATTCAATAAATTAAAGTTTCTGTCTTTCAACCTCTCAAGGCTATCCCACGCAAAATTTCACCATATGCATTCCAAACAAAACAAAACCAAAAAAGAAAGAAAGAAAAAAGAAACTAAGATAATAAAAACCTCACCCGTGCAAATCACGTATCAACCTCAACAGTGGAAGATCACAAGATAATTAGCAAAACTCAATGAAATAATCAACCTTAGTTGGAATTGTGAAATTAATGAGTTGTCGATGGTCATATAAGGTGTATTTATACACAATAGATGAGATCAAAAGAGCTTAGTATTGAAATTATAAAATGGTAAGAGATATTAAGAAAGGTAAAAGCTTCCAATTATTTACTTTCTACCCACTACTACCGGCATTCCATATACATATACATTCTGTATGTGTATAGCTTTTATATATAAATAAAATACTACACACTAATTAGCTTAATTAACAATAATCACCTTAATTACTACATAAGTACATATCGTATAATTACTACATTGTTGTAACGGTATTCTCCCTAATTATTTAATTAATAATATATTACTAATATAATTATTCCTAATCTATTTTTTTTTTTTGAATGCTATTCCTAATCTATATATATGATAATAAAACTGGGTTTAAAAAAGGTAATAACATTAATATTATTATTATTATTATTATTATTATTATTATTATTATTATTATTATTATTACATAAATATCCCTAAGTTTTGGGGAGAAAACTTGGCTAGGAGAATTTTACTTTTTATTATATATATATATATATATATAAATATAAATAATACACAGAGGTTCACACGGACCAATATCACTCAAATTGTGTATGCGCAAATTGTGGAGCAACTTGTGAATAATATCACTCAGAATATTTTCTAATGACAGCTTTGAATATTTATTAACAAACGGAGCAATGCATTTACCAAATAAGTTAATTATTACTTAAATAATTATATATCTCTATTGAGGTTCACACGGACCAATATTTATTATTCTTTCCATGAACTAAATATATATGAATTTTACATAAATACCCCTAAGTTTTGGGGGGAAAATTGGTTTGGAGGATTTTACTTTTATATAGATATATAGATATATAGATATATAGATATATAGATAGATTTTATATATTTAGAAAGTATACTAAAAATATACGGAGTAATTAAACTCAAAAAAATAAATTTAAAAATAAAAAAGTATTTAAAAAGAAAGAAGAACGAGTTAATTTTGACTAAAGAATAGCAAATAAGATATATAAAAAGGAATAAAATTATTATTTTTCTTAAATTAATGCACCAAATCTGCTGTCGAGGCGTCACGACCTGCATCCTCGGAATGCTTTTGACTAGAGGTGGACAGGTGGTCACGGCCAATTTAAGGTCGAATCAGTACGGAAAAAATAGGCTTAAGTTTCACTGATTTTGGGTCCGATTTAGCTCAAACTTAAATCGACTTATAGAGGGTCGGTTCAAGTCCTAATAAAGAATAATCTTAAGCCCAGTTTAAAACACACTGCATGATTTATGTCCAATAAAATCTAGTATCGACTTTATAAGTTATAATACACTTTATAATATTTATAAATTAACAAATAATATTACAAGCCATATAAAAAAATTTAGTAGTACAAGTACAAATGTTAATTGGGACTACAGTTCAAAAGAAGATTTTGTCCCTCAGATTAAACACTAATTGATGAATTAAGTTTTTTCGGTGAAATTTGATCGGAGTGACCAAAATTGATAAAAATTGCATAGTCAAGGTACTAAATTAACACTTTTGAAAGTCGTGGACCGCAATTAACAGGACCTTATAGTCATAAGACCAAAATTGAAATTTACTCAAAAATAAATTATAATTGTAAATAATAGGTACAATTAAATTGAATTAATAGTTCTAAATTACAAATAAAGGTTTTCTTAAATAAATCTACTTGATTTTTAAGCAAATAGATCGAAATGAAATAGATTTTTTTTTTCTTTCTTTTCTTCCTACTAACTCTAGTCAATATAGTATATGTCCATACACAAGTTCGAACGTAACCTCCCATTAGAGAGAGCTACAAAGATACTAATTCTAATAAAATAACAAACCATTTTCTTCTAAGTTATTCTACTTTTTGGCCCGTTTGGAAAAATGAAAAATATTTTTTTTTGAATAATTTTTTAAAAAAGAGAAAATTGTACTTTTTCCCTCTGAGTTATATACTTATAGCATTTTTCCCCCCTGAATTATTCAAGTGGCTGTTTTTCCCCTGAAATGTTAAATAGACATATTTTCGCTTAAAATAAATATTTCATTTATTTTTCTTCTCCAAAAAATTATGACCACAATTTGGTTCAAACCAAACAGACACTATAGCAACCAATTACGGAAATATTCTAATTACAATTTAGAATCGAAACCCGATATTTAGAGTTTATTAAAGTTGCGAACTGGGACGGCCGGTTCATGTTCCGAACTGAAAAAAAAATAAAATACATTTATTGTTGAATTTAGACTATTTTAAAATAAAAAAAATAATAAAATTTTAAAATAAAGATAGTTCAAAATCGCGAACCGGATCCATAATTGCCGGTTCACAGTTCAGGATCCAGTTTTTCGATTCATAATTTTAATAAACTGAAATCCAAATATTGAGTTCTGGATCTGAATCATAACCGGAAACTTTTAATTCGATTGCTATAGTGTCTGGTTCAATTCGAATCGAACAGTGGTCATCCCTACGTATACGCAATAATTTATTGGAGAAGAAAAATAAATAAATTGTTTATTTTAAGGGTAAAAATATCAATTTAATATATCAGGGGAAAAATTGTCACTTTTAAAATAATTGATGGAGCTAATGTGCTTACATGAATAATTTAGGGGGAAAAAGTGCTATAAGTATATATCTTAGGGAGAAAAAGTATCATTTTCCATTTTTGGAGTTTTTCTAAAAGTTAGCAAATGATTTTTTTATTTGGCCAAGTCATAATAAAATTGTATTTTTTTTTTGATATATTTTTGAGAAAATTTCACTACTTTTTGATCTTATGACTATTTAGGTATTGTTAATTGATGTCCACGAATTTAAAAATTGTCATTTTAACTCCACAACAACAACAATAATAATAACCGAATTCACAAAATGCAATTGAGTATTATTTTATAGAGTTAATTCTTTTTTTGATCCTAGTTTTATGGTGGCAAAGACAATTTTAGTCCTCCATAAAAAATTTAGACAATTTATGGACACACATATTGTGACGAAGACAATTGTAGTCCTCCATCAGCATTCCTGTTAGATGGCCATTTGAAAGGAGAGTATTTGCGTCATTTCATGATATCTCCTTCTTGCAGCCTTCTAGAGTGTCCACCATGTTTCGAATCCCTTCCCCAAAATGGAGCCCTTCAATGATCCTTCTGCACGAGTCGTCGCGATCCAGGCAATCTTTCAACCAATCGAAGTATGCGCCGTAGAAGAAAAGTGTTTCCACGAATCAGTTAATGAATGACGACGAGTTATGGTTCGCTTCCACTCCCGTCGCCACCATCACTATGGGCCTAAGCCCTCGGATTCCTCTCATTAGACCGTCGAGGCAATCGGTCAACCGTGCGATCATTGTTCTCAGCACGATGTTTGCTAGCACCGCCACAACTTCCTCATCTTCTACCTAAACCAAATCTCCCCTGAAATCTTTCAAATCTGACAGGAAGACTGTATCAAAACAAAACAGCAGATTCAAGGAGTCTTCGAAGCTCTGCAATCTCTTGCCGCACTCTTCCATCTTCTCCCTCTCCGCCACTCCGATTGCGGTTAACCTAATACGCTTGATCGGGGAACTGTCGGGTGCTCTGCCAGAGTTTGGATCAAAATCATCCAATGAATTCCACTTCGGATATGGATATCAACCAAGTGATCTTCCTTGCATTATTCACACGCTTGATGATGGCTTGGATTCCGACAAATTGGATCACTTGACTGAAGGAAATTCCTTAGTGGCTAGCTAAGATTGCGGGACTACAACTCAACGCCATAGTCTCTCAACACTTGGCTAACTGTTCCTCGCTCACCCCTCTAAACCTTCCCGTTTCCCTCTATATCCTCTTCGTTAGGTCTTTGGCGAATTGGAACGCGAGTCTCTGCACCGGAGTGCCGAAATCTGTCAAGAACGACACTCTAGAAAGCTGCAAGAAGGAGATATCATGAAATGACGTAAATACCCCCTCTCAAACGGTCATCTAACGGGTTACTTTAGACTACACTAGTTACTTTAACTAGGGCGATAGTAGATTCCCAATCTGGTCTCACAACCGTCCAAGTATAATGATCCATAGACTACAAAGTATAACTTTACTATGAAAAAAAAGGAATTTAAACCAACAATAGAAAAATGAACCAGAAAAATAAAATTAAAATTCCTAGATTTGGCTGTATGTACATTCGAATATTGTCATAATATAATGCAAATAAATTTAAACAAAAGCAAAATAAAAACAAATTAAAATTGTATGAAATAAACAACAAAAGTAATTAAAAAGTAATTAATTTTATATGTATTTGCAGCCAACCAGCGGTGGGGTGGTGGACAAAAAAAGGGTTGGTTGTACTTGCGGCGGTTGTTGTTCTTGATTTTCCGGCAGCTCCCTAGCACGACGATGATCTTGATTATCTTCTCCGGCGGGGAGGAGGTTGAGATCCAAATTCAAACCTTTCCCATTATTTTCTTCCTTTTGGAGTACCCTTTTCTCGAAGCTGGAAGAGCTCGGGCTCAACTGCGAGGCGGAGGCGGCGGCGGTGGAGTTACGGTGGCGTCTCATGTGGCCGCCCAACGCCTGGCCGGACGAGAATTCGGCGCCGCAGTAGGAGCACTCGTGAATCCTGGGGGAGGACTTGGCGGAATCGTAGAAATGGAGGGAAGAGAAAGGGGGAGAGATTTTAGGGGTCTTGTTGAACGGATAAGGATTAATGTCTTCTTCATCGTACAAGGACAGCGGCCTCTTCACGGCGGCGGTTTCCACCGTCGTCAACGGTGGCTTCTCCTTGGTGTGGCTGGTCCGGTGGCCGCCCAGCGCTTGAAACGTCGGAAACGTGCGGCCACACGTTTTACATTCGTAGACATACATCCCTACTTTCACCCCTCCCCCGCCGCCCACGGTGGTCGTCTCTATATATTTCTTGCTGCAGAATTTGCTCCCGCCGCCGCTCTCCTCCTCCTTGTACAGCAGCGACTTGGGGATGGCAGGAGGATGACGCGAGACTCCTCCGCCTTGGGAGAGGAGCATAAGGCAGCGAGCCATGTCCTCGTCCTCCGGCGTAGGCGCGGCGGGAATTGGTTCAGAGGTGGTGGAAGAATGCGGTGGTGTCGTGTCCGTGATCATGGTGAAAGAGATCGGAGAATGTGGCCTTGATCTTGAGCGTTTGGTTCGTTTGCCCTTGACGATGTGGGAGAGATCCTGGTTGGTGCAGTTGGGATCTCCGGCCACCTCCTCTAGAGCATCCATCTCTTCCCTCCACCACGCACCTCCACAACCAACAGATTAGAAAACACAAATAATAATTTAATTGAATGAGAGGTAAACAAAGAAGAAGGAGAGTGGACACAGAGACAGAGAGAGACACACACACACCTAAATTAATGTGAAATATTTGCGTAATTAAATAGTGAAGGGGAGAGGTTTAGAAGTCAAAATTAAGAGAAACGGATAGATCTGATTTTCACCTCAAACAAACATTATATTCCCATTTGCCAACCAAAATTATTATGGAGTACTATATATACCGGCCTATATATGATTTTATATTTTTATTGAAAAAATATCAAATAAGCCTTCGAACTTTACTTAAGAAGTCAATTAAGTCCCTAACCTTTTTAAAATAGCAATTAAACACATCAATATTGTATTTTGGTGCAATGAAATATTAATTAGTGATCTGTCATCACAGGTCACTAGGATTCCGATCAACATTTTGACCAAATTTGGCAATATTTTTCATCAATAAAATGAATATGGTTGCCAGTCACTTTATTGCTAGAAATATTGACGAAGTTGGCCGAAACGCTAGTGACCTGTGAATATGTGATAGTAGGTCACTAACCGGTTTTTAGACTTCATTGCACCAAAACACAATATTGAATGGTTTAATTACTACTTTAAAAAGTTTAAGTGCCTAATTGACTTTTTAGGTAAAGTTTGATGACTTATTTGACCTTTTTTTTCCATATTTTTATTTATCCATCTAAAAACACATCACATCCAGGCAACCCAACCAATTCAAGTTGATCAAATTATTGACTTAATAACCATAAAATTACAAGTTTAACTCTTAACTGAAGTGGCCTATTGGCTTTATTGGTTTGAGCCGACGGTCAGTTATATGCAATCTATGTCTAAGTTAATTTACCTCATTGTGATCTTTTTTCGGTTATGGTTACTAAGTGGGGTTTACCCTTGCATACCCTTAGGTAATGGTTGCGGGTTTCCTTGGTCAGTGGTCACCCAAAAAAAACACATCACATCTATATATTTAATATGTATGTATATACATACAATTTTTAAGTATAAAAAAATGTGGTGATATTTTTATAAATATGCAAAAAAAAAAAAAAAATCTCGCATCATTTTGTGAAAAAAAACTTACATCATTTTTATTTTTATTTTAGAAAATCTATATTATTTTGTCTTAAATGCACATGAATAAAACATGCTAAAATCGCATTGTTTTAGGATAAATACGTATGATTTTTTACTTGCATTATTTTTTTTCTTTTTCGAAAGGGACTTGCATTATTTTAATTTTAATTAAACTAAATACTCAAAATCCAGATACGATTTTTAGTACTCATAAGTCATAACCGGCGCCTAGATTATTTCCAAAAATACCAATGTTTAATTATTTTCTAAGCCTAGATCTCCACCCGTTCGTTTTTTGAGATAGACGAATGAGATTTTTTCTCATTTCTCACACTAAACCTGCACAATCTCAAAAATCTTATGCAAGGTTTTGATCGGCGCATACTTTTTGTATCAATATTATAAGGACAATTGTTAATAGTATTTGATACAACTCAAATAACATATATATATTTATCAATACACTTGTTAACCTATGTCCTTCTCAAAAAAGTTAAATTATTATGAAATACTAATGCCTACATAAGAATATAACTAATGATTATACTATAACAATTAACAAGTAATCAAATTCTGAAATATTGACAATAATACTATTAATTACTAGAATATGATTAATGACTATAATATAATAAGTGCACTACACCTAGGGATAGTAATACTAATACTAATTAATATATGTTAATCATCGATCAATTAATGTTGTTGACCCCTGTACCACCTTGCCTCGTCAGATAATTAATTAGTGGTTTACTCAATTAAGTAAATAATCCATCAAATGTTTTACAGATTTTTTATTTTAGGGATTTGACATTATCACGGTGTTAAATTAATGTTTAATTAAAAAAAAAAAACGGATTGGTCTCAATATGTTAAATTTCAAAACTCTAAAATAATAACGTTTTAGATTATAAATTTATATTTATTTAGTTCAAAATATTACTTTGTATACTAATGTATACAATTAATTTATGCCAAAGATCTTGTGATCAAGTGTCATAGTTGTGGCTCTTCTAAATAGAAGGTCACAAGTTTAAACCCTAGTGGGGGCATTAACTCTTTGTGTTTCTCAATAGGTTGAGATGTTGAGAAAGTATGTATGAATAGGTATTTCTAGTTTATTTGAATCATAATTATATTTTTATAATTATAACTGTACAGTTGGAAATGATTGGTAATGCATTCACGAATATCAAATAGTTGATACTTGTGAGTGCCCACGTGCATTGTCCACTTATTCGCCCTACGAATTTCCCCTACAGAGGTGTCAATGTGTCATTATGTGATTGATATTTAAATTTATTTATTAGTTAGTGATGAGTTAGTCAATTCTCTGGCACCCTATTAATGAAAGTCACATCATGAAGAGAAAGTACGTTGGGAGGTAAAATTAAGAGGGGAAAAGAGCATTTCGTTATGAAAATGTCACTATATTTTTTCTTTCTTTTTTTTTGCCCTTTATCAATCCATATGGATTGATGCGATAAATTCACACTTTTTACATAGAGTAGGTGTTTAATAATATCAATAATTTTATTTATATGAGTTACGTTAAATATGTGACATAATTATTCTTTTTCCAAATTGGCTAAGCTAGATTTCTTGCCTATAAGGAAAATAAAGAAATAAACCAAATTAGAAAGAATAATAGATCTTAACTATTTACAATATCTGCCATACTTTAAGTAAATGACCAAATAGGGAAAATAAAATTTAGAAATAAATTTAATTTGCTATATTACCTTATATGAAGTATAGTGAATATCAAGATATACTTTGCATGGCATTTCGTCAAATGGTGCATCGGACACTATGTGGCAAAGGCGGCCTGCTTTTGGGGTTCTTAAAGATAATTTTTGGCTCAAAATAGGGTGAGATTTGGTGCAGTCATTAGTGAAGATAAAGGGAGATGTTTAGCTGCTAAAAGTGGTTAGCGTGATGGACCTAAAAGCTAGCTGAATCTAGGGCAGTTAAAGAGGCTCTTACGTGACTTAATTAGGATGTTAAACTATGACTATATCTTGTTGGTATGAATCTTATTTAAAGTCTTTAAGAGTGGAGTCTAATTTGTTTTATGTGTGACTTGTTATTTAGGATCAACGCATTTTAATGTTTTTTTTTTTTTTTGACAATTTAAGATTTCGTCAAATTATATTTTGAATCTCATGAATACGCATCCTAAACTCATAAGGAGGTATTTGTTGATGTTATTTGTATACATAGTAAACGGTTAACAAATCAAGTAACTCATACGTTAGCAAATGTCACTAGTTCTCAGTTTGATTCGAAGCTCGTCTGATCTCCTCATACTTGTATTGTTGGTTTCTTTGTTTAATGATTATTTCTATTCTTAATTTTTTAAAAAAAAATTTAAAAAAAATTATTTTTATTTAATGTGAATAAAATATTTCGTCAATTTTTAATATTATAATTTATTTGTTTAAAAAATTACTATATGATTAGTCAATTTTAAAAATATGAATGTGATGTGAGTTAAAAAAAATAATAATAACTTAATCAATTTAAAAGATGTGCATGTTATTTTAAGTGACAGTATGATAGTGCATGATATAGTAGTGGGAAGTCAATGGGTGCAGAAATTAAAAGGTTCAAGGAGGGCAAGTTCTTGGCATGAACAATTATTTATTCATTTCTCACTTCACTGCTTGGTGTCTTGCACGTTGCTCGCGGACTTCAACTCTACCATAATTTTCAATCCACACATTCAACATTAATATTATTACTTTGATTCAATACAATCCGTTACTTTTAACAACGAAACATCATTAATATGTAATTAAACAAAACATTTGTCTTCATGATTGAATAACCGATAAATTAAAGTTCATATTCACTCATTAACATGTCGTGTTTAATTATTATACATACTTTTCATCAACTCATCATAGTGAGTATAGAGGAGAATAACATTTTTGTTACACTAATCTTATATGATTTTATGGTAGCTGTAACAGGCCACCTCTCAACCTCTCATTGGCGACAACCTCGGTGGATGGTGGGTGTGTTCAGTGGTTTCTGAGCAGTTCAAAATGGAAAGCACATTACATCCAATTCAAGCAACAATCAATCTGGCAACAGAATCTATGAAATTATATTTGCTAATAAGCATAAAATAAAAAAGAAAAAAGAATATGACAGATTAGAGTCTAACTAGTTGACTCTTTCTGGCTGAAATTGTCAGGTTAACCAAATGTAGCAAACATTCTACCTGGGTTTGAGTTCTACATGGTCTCATTAATGAAATTTACAAGCTGGGAGCATGAAATAGTACACTTGATTGTCTTATGAAGGCCAAGGGTGCTGTTAGCAAAAGTAAGTCTTCCATTGTAGTACACAACAAACATAAGACTGAACAAAATTACATACAACAAATAGGCAATGGAGCATGAAGACCAGATTGAGTAGTGAAGATTTTTCTATAGCCCGCTTCCACTTCATTCGCTTCTTCGCATTTTCACGTTCAATGGGATTTCCTTATAACATTGGACCTTCTTAGCTGCTTGCCTTAGGGGCCTACTCATTGAGGATCGTCCCAACTCTCGAGCTTCATTTCCTGAACCATTATTATTGCTTTCTACATTCTCAGGTAATGTAGATGTGGAAGTTGAACCATTTTCCTGGATGGGATCATTACTTGGTTCACACGCGCAAGTCTTGGAATCATCTATTTCAAGCAAATCTTCCTTCTTAAACCTTGCAGATTGCCTTCTTACACTCTGCCTAAATAGGATGTAAATCCACAGAGAAATCATTTCTCCAAGAATATTTTACAAATCCAAACAGTAGCATGCATCACAAGCTCACAGCATATGTCCCAGTGTCTACACACAAACCTACCTTTTTCCTTCGGCGTTATTCTGGGATTGAACTTGTTTAGAAGGACCCAGACCTACATTGAGAAAGAATGTTAAGAGCAAGAAGCTATGTTGTTTCTGAAATGGAAATTGATTTCCAGATAAGGAAATTACACTCACTCTTTGACACCCGTCTCCTTTTTGTATTTTCAGGTTCACTGCCAACATTATCTACCTTGAAGGAATCCCCTGGCTCCTCAGACTTGATAGATTTCACCTTAAGATTGTGAAGCAGACAAGTAAAGATAAAACAAATACCAGCAAAGCAGCACTCTCTTTCCGTAGTAAACTTGTCAGTTGTCACTATACCTCATTATTTAAATACTGGCATGTTTCCTTCTTTGATTTATCCTGATTAACAGTACAAGGTAAACACACAATTAATCCAAAGAATGGAAATTTTAATATCAAACTGATTCAGACAAATAAATACACCAACCTCTGCTTCTAACTTCTTGGCTTTAAGCAAACCATTTTTGCATCCAAGCTCATGTTGTAATGCTTTTAACTGATGTCAACCACACAGTGTATATACTAGCTTCAGTTATTTAAAATTCTAGGAGGAGATACAGCAGAGTATCTATCAAGGTATGTCAATTACTTACCCTATCTTTACCTGAGTTTAATTCCTGGAAAAAATAAAAGAAGAAGAAGAAGAAGAAAGGAATATTAAGGTGTAATTAATGGAAGTTGGATAATAAAAATTAGTCTAATTTGAAATTGTGGAAAGGGAAAAAACCGCAAGCATCTGACTGTTGGATTGAGCAAGTTGCTGGTTCTGTTGCTGCAATTTCTGCATATTAGTCCTCATTTTCTGTATCTCAATGCCAGTTAATTCAATGATCTTACTACAGAAAATTAGTTATGGAAATCTCTACAAGAGAAAATGAAAGTAGAATTTCATTCAAAAGAGACTACTAACATGATGACAACTCCTTCATTTCATTAAAAATACCATCATTATAAAACACAAATTATACAAGAATAGTAGGATACGTTCTTTCACCCAACATCTGTATCAATGCCATATTTTCCTGGAAGACAGTTTTAGGGAAACCCCACAGTAAGCTGAATCAAGAACAGATCTAATTTTATTAAGGAAAATTTATCATCATTAAAGCAATACCTTTTCAAGCTTTGCAATGTACTGCTTTGTATCCATGGGAATATTTTGTGGCTTCTCGTTTTGGTTAGACGTTCTCATTTGTGGTTGCACGTTACTAATATCAGCAAGTGTCTTCCTTGCAGCTTTCCCAAAAGCAGTGTTTGCTGCTTTCTCTATCTTAGGCTTATCTAACACATGAAAAAGAAAAACCAAATAGAATCCAAAGAAAAGTAATAAATTTTTTATAAAAAAAATTAAGAAAATTAATAATTATTAAAAAAAAAAAAAAAAATTCGCAAACTCCATTTGACCATTTCCAATATAAATATATTAAATCTGAGGTAGGGATGGATTAAAATATTTTCCATATAGTCTGGCAAACTTTCAGTACATGCACAAATCATTCCAAACAGCCAAGCATCATGCTGTAATTCTTGACAGAAATGCAGCTAGATAGAATTAGGCATAGTTAAAGCGGAATACAATGTATTATTAAGCATCAAGTAATCATAATTCCGGAAAAAATAACAAATCTCCCAACCTGCATACACAATCTGCTAAAACGTAAATAAATTTAGTAGAAATGACGCTGATTTTGGGGAAAAAAAACACCCTCCACCAGAGGAATTTGAGCTCAAAGATAAAATGAACACCGAATGAATTCAGAACTGAAACAATCAAAAGAAATAAAGTTTATTTTAAGAAAATTAGATAAAGGTTACCTCCAGGAGGAGCAATCTTCTTCGAATCCAGTATCGGCAGACCTTCCATTTCTAGCATCACTAGAAACCCTAATCTCCCTCCCACTGGCCCCTGAATAGTGTACGCGGCCTGAATGTGTGTGGTCTAGAGTGCAGCTTATACTGACCGGCAGGAGAATCGACCTCCGTGACGGTGGAGCCGTGGACGGCGACGGCTTACCCAAGCGTCAGATTTCTCCGAGCTTATTTGAATCTGTTGCAGATTGGGGAGGCGGGAAATATATTTGTTACTCCATATTACGAAAACTTTGAGACTCAACTTATCAACCCAAACCCAATTAAACAAATAGGGCCCGGTGTACTAAGAGCTACTCCTGTTAGGCCCATTTTGAACCCAAACTTTGCTCGGCCCAAAGCCCAAATAGAGAAATTGAAAACGAACTTTTTTTTTGGCAAATTATGCTGTGGAAGTGTGGAACTCTGTCCACCTTAAATATGGAGTTCAAAAATTATGAACATAGAGTTCAATAAATGTGAATATGAAATTCAAAAATTATAAACATAGAGTTTTATAATCATGAACATAGAATTCAGTAATTATGAACATAAAACGGTGTCTACCTTGTAAGGTGGACACGATTTCACGGTATAACAATTGCTTCCCTTTTTTTTTTTCTTTTAATGGTAGGTAAAAATAGGGCCAATTATACCATGGATCAGGATTTACTTTACATTGTAGACCCTAATTCAAAAATGACTTTTATAGATTCTATACCTAGAGTAGACACATTTTGTACATGCAGTTAATTATTTTTGTACCTGTAAATAAATTGAAAACGTATCAACTGATAAGTACATACACATAACAGTTAAGTTGTTAACTACAGACACATAAACGATTAATTAAAAATACAAAGTATATTAACTACAAACACATCAGAATTTATATTTCTTTCTCATTACATTATATACAATATACAATTATTAAAAGATTATCCACCTCTTCCAAATAAAAATTTTCCTTTTCCTTCTTTTGATACCTTTCTCAATGAACAAAGTGTGAGTTGTAGACTTTAGGGCGGATATAGCCATGGGCGGTTTTTGAATTTCTTTTTGCCTCATCAAAATGGATAAAGTTAAGCATTGCTTCAATAAGCTGCCAAAATACACGTAGCTTTACCACTTATTTAGTCCCATTTATCCTCCAAAAATATTAATAAACACTTCATTTGCATGAAAGCTTGCGGCCATGCTACTAAAAGATATGTTTTAGGTGAAATTTGTATCGTGATCCTACTAAAGAACTAATAAATAGCTCTCATAGAGAACCAAATTTAAACCTTGTAATTACAAAATTAAATGTCCAACCAACTTAGTCAGAATTATTCAAAATATTAATAACTCAAAACCGTAAAACATTTTTTTTAGTTATCCTCCAAAAATATTAATAAACCCTTCATTTGCATGAGAGCTTGCAACCACACTACTACAAAGTATGTTTAGTTGAAATTTGTATTGTGACCTTACTAAGAGACTAGTATATAATTCCCATAGAGAATTGAACTTAAACTTTATATTAATAACTCAAAACCGTAATGCTATTGACCCTATTACAATGTAGTATCTATTCATACTCAATCAACTGAAGCAAAAGTCAATACCGTCTCTACTGAAACTCAAACTCACAACCTCTCATATGAAAGTGCAACCTTGGTGCCATTAGGTCTTAGACTAAAACATTCTTTTTAGTTATATAAAATATGATGTTTTCAATTAATACACGCACCATATTATACTGCGCAATCTATCCGCCTGTCGTAATTTACGGAAAAAGCCCTTGAAGAAAAAGTGGGTTGCAATGTTGCATATAGTATCTTCACTTAGCTTTTGACTATCTTTGCTTCCCTCTATTTAAAAATAGCAATCACAGGATAGTTATACCGTGAAAATGTGTTCACCATGTGCATGATGAACACAGGAGTAGATCCATAATTTATATACTGTAGATTCATAATTTTTTTTTTTTTGAAAATGTAAATTCATAATTTTGTTTTTCATTTGTTGTTAACGGGATAGATCCATAATTACTAAGCTGTAGATTCATAATTTCTATACTGTAGATTCATAACATCTATACTGTAGATTCATAATTTCTATATTGTAGAATTGTAGATTCATAATTCTTGTACTGTAGATTCATAATATCTGTAACAACAAATGAAAAACAAAATTATGAATCTACGTTTAAAAAAAAAAAATTATGAATCTACCCATGTGTTCACCATGCGCATGGTGAACACGTTTCCACAACATAATATGCGGTAATCAATCGTTATGTTGTGCAACCGTGTGCATCATGCATGGTGCACACGGTTGCAAACGATGTCATTTTACTATTGTGCATAATTACACATCCATAACTTTATAACTATACATTCAGAATTGCATAACTATACATCCATAACTTCCAGAATTGCATAATTACACATCCATAACTTAATAAGTATACATTCAGAATTACATGCATAACTATACATCCATAACTTCATAACAATACATTCAGAATTGCATAACTATACATCTATAACTTCATAACTATACATTCAGAAAGTATGCACAGCATAACGCCATTAACAGCAATCAAAAATGAATTTTTTTAAAAAGTCGGACAGCGTCGGTTTTTAATTAAAACGGCACCGTTTTTGCAACTGTGTGCACCATGCATGGTGCACACGGTTGCACAGCATAATTTGCCGTGTATGTGGGCAAATTATATTGTGCACTAGAGCGCACAATGTCTTGTGCGTCCTGGCCTAAAACAACGTCGTTTTTAAAAGTTGGGGAGTTGACGCGACAAACACCGTTAAAAGTTCATGTGTAGTCCGATTTCGTTATAGCTTGACTCTATTACAATGTAGTATCTGTTCATGGATTATATTACAATGTAGTATTTGTTCATGGATTATATTACAATGTAGTACAAAGAGTCCATGCCTCCACACTGGAGTTTGAACTTGAGACCTCTAATTTGAAGGGTCACAGGTATGCCGTTCGACCACAAGGCCTTTGGGCTGTGTATTATATTAAGAGTTCAACTATATTATGTTAATAGTTTATGTGTATTATATATTATGTATTATGTTAGGAATTTATATGTATTCTAGTATACAATTCTGCACATAGATTGTACTTTCTTTACACCGCTAATCACTAGACATCATTTCCTCCTCCTAAGCCTAAGGATCAGGCATTGCCAATTTTGACATCACTATGCCCCCAAAAAAAACTGCTGACTCAAATCTCCTGGAAATTGTGGGTCCAAAAGGGAAGAATTGATTAAGCCTAGCCGCTTTCTTGCTCACAAGTCTAAAGCTTTTCCGATTTTCCTCTTCAAGTCTAAGTATGGGTTCACACCATCCCAGAATGATTGGGATACAAGCTAGGAATGAGAGTCTTTGATTGGTCTAAGGGGGCTGCAATTCTGCAAAAGGTTCAGAGATGACTGTCTCTCCTCCATGCCTGGTGTCAACATCATAGCCTCCTCTTCCTCCATCACCCAAATCTGTTCTTTCTTCTTTAAACTGACCTAGAAAGAAGCACCCATACATTCTTTTCTTATTTTATTATCAATTTTGGATCTTTAAATCTTCAGTTTCTTCACCATCATTCTATGTTTCTGTTTTTTATCTTATCAGGAACACCACAAAGCACAAAGCTTTTTCCCCCTAAATTTTGCAGCTTTAACTCACAGTGACAGTGAGGATTATCCAGAAGGAAGACATACCTGGTAACAAGGATCAAGAATGTTTCCAACAGCCATTGCCACCTGCATTCTTTTGTTCTGCCTGATCTTGACCTCCTCCTCACTTCCTTCCCAGATTGAGAATGCCACCCTCACCCTTACCAGCCCACACCCCAACCCTGAAGCTGTGATTCAAGAAGTTCAAAGGTAAAAGAAAACTCAACATTGTGCAAAGCATTATATTACAGATTCTCACATTTGGGGTTGTTTTATCCTTTGGCATTTAGCATTGTCTATATTTCGGTAATAAGTTTTAAACCACCTTAGGTTGTCTATGACAGATTCAAAAGGTCAATAGACTGTTCTCGCTGAGAATCGAATTTATAAGTTGTAATATTGTGTTTTTTCATATGTCAAAGTGGTTAAGACATGTTTGTTCATAAATATTTGTCACATAAAAATGGACAAACTTTGTGTTATGCATTGATTCTAAGTAAAGATTGTGAGTAAAATTTGAAATATGTCACTGTGGGGTGCAGTACTTCATAGTTCATAGCACATTTTACCCTGTTTTTTCTCACACATTTTGGCAAACACCTGCTATGCAATGCAATCACAGGAAAGTAAAGGAATCAGTATGGAGAAGAAACCTTTTGTTGTTAACAGAGAAGGACCAATGCCAGACAGGAAACCCGATTGACGACTGCTGGCGATGCGACCCGAACTGGGCCAACAACCAGCAGCTAGCCGACTGCGCCATTGGCTTCGGGCGAGAAGCAACGGGCGGGAAAGGCGGCAAGATTTATGTAGTCTCCGACTCGTCCGACGACAGCGCCGTCGAGCCAAAGCCGGGAACTCTCCGCCACGCGGTGATCCAAACGGAGCCGCTCTGGATCGTCTTCGCCGCGGACATGACCATCGACCTCCGACACGAGCTCGTCGTCAGCAGCTACAAGACCGTCGACGGGCGCGGCTCCGCCGTGCGGATCACCGGCGTAGGCTGCATCATTCTCGAGTCCGTTAGCAACGTCATCATCCACAACCTGCAAATCTACAACTGCGTCCCCTCGAAGAGGGAGGAACTAGGGTTAAGCCCGACGCAGAGAGAGAAAAAATCCAAATCAGACGGCGACGGGATAACTGTACGCATGTCGAAGGACATATGGATCGATCACTGCGCTCTATCCAAGTGTACGGACGGCCTGATTGATGTCACGGAGGGATCCACCGCGGTCACCATATCCAACAGCTACTTCTCCCACCACGACAAAGTCATGCTGTTGGGACACACCGACAGCGACTCCGCCGACGACGGAATGCAGGTCACCGTAGCGTTTAACCGGTTCGGAGAAGGTCTAGAGCAGAGGATGCCGAGGTGTAGACGAGGGTACTTTCACGTGGTCAACAACGACTACACGTCGTGGGGACTGTACGCCATCGGCGGTAGCGGAAATCCGACCATCAACTGCCAGGGTAACCGCTTCACGGCGCCGGCGGACACAAACTTGAAGGAGGTGACAAAGCGACTGGAGGCAGAGGAGAAGGAATGGCAAGATTGGAATTGGAGGTCAAACGGAGATGTAATGGAAAACGGAGCGTTCTTTGTACCCTCCGGTGACGGGAAAGACGATATATACGCCAAAGCCTCCAGCACGGAGCCCATGTCCGGCGTTCTCATTGATCAGCTAATACAGAACGTCGGCGTCCTCTGTGGCCCCGGGTACTGCCCTGCTATTTATTTTTTTATTTTTTTAATCACCCTCTGTCAGTCCTTCTCACCACTATATATAGAGTTCTAGTACACTTATTTTCAAATTCTACTTACTAAAATTTATTCTTTGATGTGACGAATGTTGATAAATTTTTATTTTTTTTTAATGTGAGCCCTTATAAATATGTCTAAATTAAAATTTAAAATGTGAGAATAGAGGATGAGAGTACGTATAATATTTTTCTAATAGATATTTATCCCTTATCGACCCCACATTGTTGCTGATATGTTCTTAGTAGGGTTCCAATCCCACACTATTGCTGAAGCCAAATTTTAGGTTGATAGGTTCTTAGTGGGATTCAAACCCCACACCTAACTGAAATCAAGTTTTAGAGTGATCAATCGAATCAACTGAGCTAGTTCTGTGGGACACTAATTCTTCTTATTTGCGTTTACATCCCATACATATATCTTTATTTATTAAAAATGTATCATTTTCAGTTCTCACAATAGTGCATTGTATAATTATAGGCTCACCGGCGGCGTCAAGCAAAGCGGCGACGGAAGTAGTAACTGGAACGGATACATGGACGGCGAAATGAACTTTGGGGGCGGGGCTTCATCACCACAATCAGCCACTGTCGCTATATTTTTGTCATTTTTTCTACTTGTTAACTCTTTGATCTTTTAATACTAAAAGATAGAATGTAATATATTTATATTTAAGTAAGAGATCACAAGTTTGCTTCTCAGATGTATCAAATCATTTCCAAATTAGTGTTAGTCATGTCCGGACAAATTCACTTCAGTACAAAACCATCTATCATTTTGCTACAACATAAGGAGATAGAGCACATATGTCAAAGGTCATGGGTTTGAATCTCTACAGTCCACGAGCATATTGCAATCCAACTATCAGCTTAGGCTTATAGTTGAGATGAGCACATTTCAATTGTTATTTGCTCCCATTTCATCTCTAAACCTCTTGTAAATATCAGTCTTGTAGTAGGCCGCAGTCCTGGCCACCAAAACCAACGAAACCAAAGCCCCAAACAGATTCACACCAGCAAGAACAATGAAAGAAACCTTATAGCATTGCGTCCCAAGGCAAGTCAACTCTCCCACCCCCCTCGCCGCCACCTGCTTCACCGCTTCTCCGTCGTAGAGCCGCCCCACGATCTTCACGTTCAGTATATACGATCCCAGGGGGCTGGCGAGCTGGCCGCAGTTGAAGAGCGTGGAGTAATATTTCAGCCCAAAGAGCTCCGAGATTATAATAAAAAGGAGCGTGAGCTGGACGCCGTAGGAGAATCCCAGTATCAAGGAGGCGCCGTAGACGGACCCCGGGAACGGGAAGGCCACCAGGAGGTCGCCGGCGCAGGGGAGGAGGAGGGAGAACGTCATCATCAGTGTACGAGGTATTTTCCATCTTTTGACGATGGTTTCCGACACGAACCCGGAGAAAACGCGGCCGAAGTAGTTCCAGATGCTGACCAGGGACACGAATGTTCCGATTGTACGCGGCGGGTAGCCCAGGGACTCCCCGATTTGTCCCAGGTTGTCGATGGCCGCCAAACTACAACCTTGGCCGCAAAAGTTGCATATGAATAGAAGCAACATGTCCACGCTCAACAGCGCCTGCAATATACTGTAATCTTCTCCCCTCTTCGGCTTCTTGAAAATATTACCAAAACAGGAATAATCTCCGGCCTTCTCCTCCTCCGCTTTCTCTATATTCTCCGCCGGCGGCGGTGGATCTTCAACATTTTCCGATGACAATAACTGCTTCTTTTTCTCCTTCCGGGTGGCCAATTCCTCCATAACGGCTATCAAAAACGGAAGAAAAAGCAGGGCACAAACAATGGTGGCGCAAGCAATATAAGCGAAATGGGAGAATCTTACGTATTTCTGGGCAATCGTTAACCCCATTAAACAAAGTGCGAGAGTGATGGATATCCCAAGATACTCAAAGAAAACCTTAGTTTCGTTAGGATGGCTAGAAATCTTCATCGGCCGAATACTGGGAATAAAAACGATTGACAAAATGGCCGGAAGCCAACCGATTAAAAGAATCAAATTCTGGGAATCATTCCCATAGATTGCCAAATAAAGCTGGGTGAAAACCGCGCCACTCAACCCGACAAACCCCTTCATCAACCCCAACATCATCCCTCTACTCGCCGGGAAATTCTTGACGCACGTGACAAGCGCGCCCGTGTTGGCGAAATTCTGGGAATTAGCTCCGACACAAATGTACAGACACATCTGCCACACCTTGGGTTTGGCGATTCTTTTAGTGACGGAAAGCCATATGAGGAAGTAGCCGGCGAAGTTCATGGCGGAACCGACCAAAAGTACGAACCAAGTAGGCGTTACCTCGGCGATGAGGCCCGACAACACTCCGACGTTGGCTCCCACGTCCTTGAAGGAACCGAGGAGGTTGAGGGTGGACTGGTCGTAGCCCAAGGTGGCTTTGATCTCCTTGGAGTAAACGCCGAAGAGGTACGTGGCTCCGGCGCCGGCCATGATCAAGAACGAAGCGAACATCATGAACCATCGTCCCCGGAAAAGTTGAAACACAAAATTCTCCATATTTTGCTCTTCTTAATTAATTAATTAATTTAATTGCCCTTTCGAGTGAATAAATATTTATATATATGACACCGATAGTTTAGAGCATACAGAATATAAGATAAGAGTTGGATAAGTTCTAAAATACAAACATATAAGAGTTTGGATAAGTTGTAAAAAACGAACACTCACTGAAAGCAGGCAACCTAGTATTGATTACAGTGGGGAAATAATACAGTATTTGAGTAATTCAATTGGGATATTATTGTAATTAAGTGGTGCTTCTTTGTTTCTATCTTTTTGTCTGGTTGTAGGGCATAACCAGTGAGTCAAATAATTGAAACTAGATCAGTAGCACACAATATTATCATAAGATCGTGTGCTACTGAGGACTGGATTTTGTTGATGATTGTCCTGTCCGGTTTGTTGTTTGTATGCGAAATTGGTGAGTCATGTTTCCTTGGCTTGTGAATTAGCTTCACGTGTTTGGAATGATTTCGTCGTGACCAGAATGCTCGGGAACTTAGTTCACTAATTCAGTAAACTAACCAATATTTAGCCCTGACTATTGAGCAATTGAATCACCGTGATTTACATCTACCCAAATACTCTGACAGGCCAAGGTGTAAAGAACTCATGAGATTAAAAATTCAACCTTTTGAGGAGAAGAAAAATATCTAACATTACATGATATGCCAGTATCCTTAATTGAGATGAGACTCGAACATGTGACCTAATATTATCCTAATATCTCTGCCAATTGCTACAGTAAATAAAGCAGAAGCGGGAAAAAAATGTTAAAACACCAAAATTAGGCATTAACTAATCTCACAACACTACTTTTAAGTCATGATAAGGCATTCACATTTTGACTACCAAGTATCCACAAAGCAGATGGTCAAGAAAATTAAACTTGGGTATTATCTCATAAATCTAATAAAAAAATAGTCAAAACATGAACATTAAATTAAAGCCTTCAGTAGCGGTCAAAGGAGGGGGAATGGCCGCCCCTTCGAGGGCGGTCATAAGGTCCTGCCCTGTCTCGGTAGCTTCTTCCACCCTCGTATCGGGAAGGCCCTCCAACTCCAGCTCCATATCTGTCACCACCACCAACTCTTGGGCCTCCTCCATCCCGGCCATAGCCGCCTCCTCTCTCTTTGCCATAGCCATTTTGTGGGAAACGATCAGGACCTCCATATCTATTGCCTGCAAACCGATCTCCACTTGGGGGATACCTAATCATAAATACAAGTTGTGATTCAAAACTTGTATGTTGCCTCTAAAAATTAAAATGTTCTGCTGGATGACCTAAATGAATTTGGGGAATTCGTTTCAGAGAACTTAGTCAGGCTGCAAATTACAATCATGTTTCACGAAAACATACCTGTCACTGACATACCGATCACGGCTTCCATAGCGATCATCTCTACTGTCAATTCTATCCCTATCAGCATAGTGCCCTCTGTCATATCGATCATCCAAGTATCTATCACGATCACTACCAAAGCGATCCCCCCGGGCACCAGCTCCACCAAACCTAGAGCGCGGAGGGGGTGTCATGGGACGGCCGCCTCGACCACCACCTTCTACTGGGCAGTCTCGGGCCCAGTGACCTGGGCGACCACACCTGAAGCAGTTATCCTGCCCTGCTGACCTATCCGGTCCACCATCCCTACCACCAGATGAGTAACCGCGACCATAGCTTTCCCTACCACCAGATGAGTAAACTTCGCCATAGCCACCATCTATACCATCTCCCCCCATCCTCGGTTGGGCCTTGTTCACTGAGATCGTCCGCCCACCTAACTCCCTACCATGCATTTCTCTTATAGCATCATCCATTGCTCTGCGATCTCCAAATGTTAAAAACCCAAATCCACGAGGACGGTGTGTATCTCTTTCCAGCATAACCTACATAAATCTAAAGCATCAGTAAATGATAAAAAAGAACACAAGCAAAGCAAAGGAAGTAATGTAATTACAAGAAGTCAATATATTTTTGTAATTCAGCAAGGTTCATGCATCATGTGCACTCTGGGATAGGAAAATGTATGCAATCTTAAACTTACCTCTGTTTTCAGAAAACCTTAGTTTCAGGGGTTAACCCTTGTTTTAACAATCAATTGGGGCATGCTTGGCTCTTGCACCAAGCTCAACCTTATAATGATGTACAAAATTCAATGTGATGAAGAGAGAAGCAAGCATATAAAAGATGATGACAGGTTCTTTGTTTCTCAATTTCTTGGAGAACAGATAAGCAAAAACCTCATAGCAAGGGATGAAGAAAATAAAAGTAAAAAATAATTTACCCGGATTTGCAATTTTGGCCAATCCTTCTAGTTTTTGTGATTGTGATAGTGGCCTAATTTGATCAATTTGTTTCAATTTTTGCCAGTTCATCTGCTTGGTCAAAACTAAATATGACTAATTATAATTTATCCTCATAAAATTATACACCAGAGACTTGAGGTGGCTGGCAATTGCAGTGTGTTTGTGGCAAAGTGTATACATGTGTTTTGAAAGGATAAGGGAGAAGTATAATTGACAATAAATTAATTTAGACTATGATGTGAGCTGGCCAAAATTGCAAAAACTGATAAACATTTGACAATGGAAGAATCATAATGCCTCACTTTGAGAAAGACATAGTGAGGTGTGGATTGTACTTTAATTTTAGATGACAATGCATCTTAAATGGCAAAGGAACTCTTACTTGTATTGAAGGATGTACAACATTACAGATTCCCATCATCTGACATGTTAAGACAGTTATGTTACCTCAACTCTTGTTCTGTGTGATCAGAGGATCAACAACACAAACCACGCAACCACAAAAACTGTATATTCTCTTTGAGTTAACTAATCTACACCACTTTAACCAGCTTCAGAGCCTCAGTAATCTCTTCAACTTCGACCAAATTCTTATTGAAGAAAAAAGCCATAAAAATACAGTCAGCTTCAGCTGCTCAAACATGCTGCCAAAGTGATAGTTACTTGGAAGAATGGTGGCTGGAAGAAAGTCTATAGAGAAATTTCCAATTAAAACTTTGGTAATTGTTTGCAGCTTTAATTTCAATCAATTACCGCATACTTGCCCCCCATTTTAACTAAGCCATCATTGCATCAACTAATACTTGTTAACAGCAATTACCAACTATAAACCATCAACTAATCCACTTTAACTTTTCATATCATCCGCAAATCACCCATAACTGATTAGTTCACTAAGGCCAGAGGAAACAAGTACAAACCAGAAACAGATCCATCTGACAGGAGCTTAGCTCTGATGTTACTGGAGCAAGCAGAACTAATACGGCAGTAGTGGTCCTAGTGGACAATCAGAATTGCCCCACAGAGCAGTGTGAAGACAATTTATCCCAAAAACAAATACTAACTCAAATGAAATGTTAATCTTGAGCCTTTAGTTGCATGCTGACATCAGCTGATCCTAAATGTTAACCGCTACAACCTTAGCCACAAACAGAGCACCAGAAAGCAGTGGAACCACAATCTGAATGGCAAATAGAAATGAATGAACTATCTAAAGAGGCCAAAGTAAACACAAAAATGTAGAAAGAATAAATCTTTTACTACTAGCTCTTGGATAGCAACAGTGGCACAAGCAACTGTCAAATTGCTGAAGAAAGATGAATAAATTGGCATCATTGGCTTCATCTTATTCTGCATCATGGCTGATGCGAGCTGAGAGAGACCATAGCTTCACAACTTGGTAACAGCTCACAGGCCACTTGGAATTCAATGACACAACTGAAATAGACCATTTAGCCTAAGTGTTTCAGAAACATGAGAAGTTACCATATTTGCCAGTTGCTGCTCAATTAAACTGAAACAATTGGATTTGAGACCTAGAAGTTCTCTTGCAACAGAATATATCTACTCAAAGCTCCTCACCACATCTCTAAAGTAGCAATAAGAAACCTCTTGATCTCACCATTGGTAGCATCTGGACAGTGTTTCAGTTCTACTAAAATGAAGTCCTAGGGGCTTAGTGGTGAAGAGAATTCGTGGGAGAAACGAATCAATGACCTCCAATCAGAACTAACAAAACAACAGACAACATTTTTCAAATCCATTACATTGTCAAGAGTGATGCCTGAAGTTGATTGACATTCAACAAGATAATACACCATACATATACGATACTGAAGAAAGTTCAACTAGAAGCTTCTGCATGCTTTATTACCCATCTGGTTCCATGTAGAGCAACTGTCTAGCAACTTAGGAAAATCTAAGTCAAACCATAATAGTGTTGAAGTCTTGAAGTAGACACCGGGTTTGTCTACACGCAAGATGTTCATGTCTTAACAGAACTTCCAGACTCTAAAAATGTGGAAAATGCACAATGGTTGCTTGCCACTAAATCACTAATATGAAGTGGACAACATGGCTAACCAAAATGATCTGGAACTCTCTTCTCCCCATGCAAAAGGTTGTCTTGATTAGAACTTAACTATCGTGTGAATGCTATGTGCTCATCATTGCAGGCAAACAATATATGCAATTGCTGGTGTCTGGTGACATCACACAGTTGCTGAATCCAATTCTTCAACGAATCAACCAATCAAATGTCAACATCATATGCTGGGAACATCTCATATTGCATTCCCACCCCCATTTCTAATAAAGAAAACATCACATGCTGAGAATTCATTGAAGAAAAAAGGTCTAAAGGAAGCCAGATCATGTAAGCCTTCCTATTCAACCAATTCAAGGCAACTAACCACAATAAAGTAGAATGCACACTTGTCCAGAAAAACCAGCTGCCCAAAAACAACCCACAAAATTGATGCAAGCTGTGTTGCACGTTAGCATGCAATTTGACTTAGATAATGCCTTCCCATGAACAACTCTAGGAAATCAAATAATAAAAACAAACTGCTGAACAGAACCTAGCAACACAAACAACAGTACACTCCAATAACCGTGCACATTCCATTGAACCACACATCCTCAAAATGTTCCATCTAAGATATTCCAAAGACCCCAGCAAAAAAATGAAATGAATTAATATTATCACAGTGAAAAGAGAAGAAAAACTTTCAGCTTTCCAAATTTAAAAACTTCTTGTTGTAAATTTAAAAAAGAGTTAATACCTAAAATGGTCCCTCGACTATGCCATAATTACCAATTTGGTCCTCAACTACCATTCTTACCCAATTAAGTCCTCAACTATGTAACTTTTACTCAATTAAGTCCTCAACTATACAATTCTTACTCAATTTAGTCCTCAACTATACAATTCTTACCCAATTTAGTCCTCTGTATTAATTTGACTATTTGTTGACTGTCAAAAGTTGGGATAAAATTATAATTTTACAAGATTTCTCCTTCCTCTCCAGTTAGCAGCGCCAAACCATGCAGCAATACACTCCGATCAGATTTCGATCGTCAAAAAATCGTTGAAAATCAAATTCATGGGCTATCCGATGCACAACCACTACTTCGATACTGACAGGTTTAGAACCCAACCGGAGCTTATTGCTACATGGTTTAGCGCTGCTAAATGCGAAGGAAGGAGAAAACTTGTAAAAGAGTTAATACCCAAAATGGTCTCTCGACTATGTCATAATTACTAATTTGGTCCTTAACTACCATTCTTACCCAATTAAGTCCTCAACTATGTAACTTTTACTCAATTAAGTCCTCAACTATACAATTCTTATCCAATTTAGTCATCAACTATACAATTCTTACCCAATTTAGTCCTCTGTATTAATTTGACTGTTTGTTGACTGTCAAAAGTCGGGATAAAATTATAATTTTACAAGATTTCTCCTTCCTCTCCATTTAGCAACGCCAAACCATGCAACAATACACTCCGATCAGATTTCGATCGTCAAAAAATCGTTAAAAATCAAATTCATGGGCTATCCGATGCATAACCACTACTTCAATACTGACAGGTTTAGAACCCAACCGGAGCTTATTGCTACATGGTTTGGCGCTGCTAGATGAGGAGGAAGGAGAAAACTTGTAAAATTACAACTTTATTTCAACTTTTGACAGTCAACAAACAGTCAAATTGACAAAGGACTAAATTGGGTAAAAATTGTATAGTTGAGGACTTAATTGGGTAAGAATAATAGTCGAGGACCAAATTGGTAATTACGACATAGTCAAGGGACTATTTTGGGTATTAACTCCTTGTAAAATTACAACTTTATTTTCACTTTTGACAGTCAACAAACAGTCAAATTGACAAAGGACTAAATTGGGTAAAAATTGTATAGTTGAGGACTTAATTGGGTAAGAATGATAGTTGAGGACCAAATTGGTAATTACGACATAGTCGAGGGACTATTTTGGGTATTAACTCTTTAAAAAACTTCAGAATTCAAACTCTAAGCTCAAAGGAGAAGCAAGAAAGACATGAAGTACAATACAAGCAACATAGCTGAGAAAGAAATGGAAGTACTAATTAACCTCAAAAGGTTTCAGTTCTTGATTATAGATCTATGTCCAGAACATATGACTTATTTCATGTGTGAAAAACAAAGAAATACAAGATTATATATGCTTTAAAATGTGATTCTTTATCATTAGAAGGCTTTAAACAAATACTATTAAGCTGTGTTTTGTGATTGTAGAACAGAATAAGTCACACTCTTCTGTTAAAATATTAGAACTGATAAAAACTGACCTAAAAATTATTCCATAACTGATAGCCCAAATGTTGAAGTTTTAGAGTCATGAATTCTATGAAGTATTGGAATAAATTTATTATATATAAATATTGTAGTAGTATCTCTCTTTGTATTTTCAGAAAGACATGAGCCTTACTCAACGCTTTATCAAGGGACTACCATATTTTAATTCAGTAGCTTTTAAGATAGAAATCAAATGAAAAAAAGCAACTTCCCAAATATGAAAGAATCCCGCACCACTAAACCCCATTGCTCAACAAACTTAATCTAAATTCGTAATTTGTTTCCAAACCACCCAACAAAAAGTTCCTAGTTTATTCCATTCTCCGGCCAGGAGAACAGATTGCACACGAAATACACATATGACATATGCACATTCTGAACACGACTGAATTTCAGTATAAGAATTTTAAAAAACGATGCCTAATACGAGTAAAATCCAAACCTGACAGTCGACGACTTTGCCGAAACGGCTAAAAGCATCTTCAAGCTGACGCTCAGTGATGTCCCATGACAACCCTCCCACAAATATGCGATACTCTGACTCCTTCGCCGACATCCTTCGCTCTCTTATCGTACCTTCGAAACAAAATTACAACAACAAAAAAAGGTCACGAAACCTGATATGAGCAGATGAACGGTTACAATTTTACAACAGAGAAGCAACACACGATAAATTAACGCACTCACGAACTCAAATATCACGCCTACAAATTCAAGCCTGCGCGAAATAGAGAAAGATACCTTCTGTTTCCACTTGCGAGCCCGAGAAGACGAGAAGAGAATGCTCGGCACCCTGTGGTTCTTCGGAGTTACAAAACCCTAGAAACGGAAGAGGGGTCCTCGTTAATTTAAAATTTTTTATTAGCTACGTTGTTTTTCCATTCATTCTCAAACCCACCCCTATATATTTTCAGAAATTTCAAATGATACCACTTCAACTTCTAAAAGGGATTAGACTCTTTATGTTTTGGAATAAGGGTCAAATATGTCACCGAACTGCACATCAAAACAACACAAAATTATGCAATTAGGTCTAAGAGTTCGTTTGGAAAGCAGAAAAATGACTTATGGAAAATGAGTCATTTTCCAAAAGTCATTTTCATTTCCTGTGTTTGACTACCTAACAGAAAACTGTTGTTGTGTGTTTGGTTCATTTTCTAGAAAATGAGAAGGAAAATGACAAAACCCAAAAGAAAAAAAATCACAAACATCAATGGTGAAATTGTAACTACAGACGGAAATTTCACAAACCCAAAATTTTTCACAAACTCTATACAAAATTCACAAACCTAGATGGTGAAATCACAAACCCAACAATTTTCCAACTCACAAATTTCACCTCAAACAAATAGAAAAAAAAAAATTGTAATAGGACATTCGACGCTGAAGCCTCCGTCTATCTCTCTGGCGGCGACGGTCTCCGGCGGACTGGTGGTGCAGCTTTCCTTTCCTCAGCAGCAGCGGGAACAGAAATGGTGATTCCGGTGTGGACAGCAGATCCGGTGGTAAAGCAACGGCCCTTGAACTTCCGTCTCTCTCCGGCGCCAACAAAACTGGTGGACGCAGTTGAGCAAATCGACGGCAACAACGGTCTCCGGCGGTCCCTTTCTGCCTTTCTTCCTCAGTAGTGGCGAATTTCTTTTGTTGGTGATTGGTTCTTTCTGGTTTTTTGGAGGCTTAGCTTCTGATGAGAGAATGGAAAATGACTTCCCCCAAAAAAAGGGGAAGTCATTTTCCGAAAAAAATGACCTTATTTTCCATTGACCAGAGTTGATTTTCCTGCTTAGCCAAACACCAAAAATCCGGAAAATGATTTCCAGAAATCATTTTCCGGCTTTCCAAACACACCCTAAAATGACTTGTTGACCTGGAATTGTGCTGATGTGGTGATTATCAATTTTAAAAATAATTTTTTTTAAATTTAATTTTAAATAAAATAATTAATTAAAATTTTAAATTTTTTTTAAACAACTGCCGGAGACGAAGAGCTTTGTCTCCATGGCTAGAGACGAAGTTTCATCTCCCTAGCCATGGAAACAAAGCCTTCGTCTCCGGCCATGGAGACGGAATTGTCGGAGATGATTCGTCTCCGGTCGTCTCCATGGCCGGAGACCACCTCCGTCTCCATGGCCAGAGACAAAGGGATGGTCTCCTGGTCATGGAGACGAAGCTCTTCGTCTCCGGCCATGGAAACAGAACTGTCGGAGACGATTCGTCTCCAGCAGTTCTATTTTTTTTTAAACAAAATTTAATTTTAATTAATTATTTTAAAATTAGTATTCGCCATTTCAGGTAAACAGGTCATTTATAATTTTGTGTTGTTCAGTGACCCAATTACATTGTTTTTTTAGTTTGATGGCATAATTACACTTTTGTGTGTAGTTCAGTGCCGTATTTGACCCTTATTCCTTTTTTTTTAATCTATAATTAAATCTTTAAACTTATTAAAATTGTGCATTTATCATTTTGACAGATTATCAAAAGATAACGTGTTAATTTTATTTGTATGACGTTGGCATCTTTATCCCAAAAAATTATTACAAAAAAATTAAAATATATTCGACCTAACAGAAAAGCTGGTCAAACTTTTTCATTCATGTCAATCTAGACATATAAGATATTTTTTCCTTCCAAATCGACATGAAATAAGAAGTCATGACAACTTGGTTGCCATGACACCTTTTTTTTAAAAAAATATATTTTTAATAACTTTTTTTTGAAAAATAATAACATAGTGGCATTCCATTGTTCCTGTGACGGATTGACGGGTTGTTTAGTAGTAACAAGTGTTACAAGGTATTTGATTGTGATAAGGGAATTAGGAAATAAAACAATTGTAACTCGGTGAAAAAATAATAAAGTAAAATTTAAATTACATTTTTGGTAAACATGAATATAATGAATGAGAATTGAAAGGAAATAAGTGAATAAAAACTAAAATGCCCTTATATTACAATAATAATAATAATAATAATAATAATAATAATAATAATAATAATAATATAATAATAATAATAATAATAATAATAATAATAATAATAATAATATAATAATGATGATGAATAAAGTAGTCATTTACCATGGAATAACAATTTCACAAAGTGTGAATTGCAATTCCTAACCATTCCCTCCAACCAAATGTCCAAACCATAGAATTGTAATTCCATGGAGTTTGGTCACAATGAGTAAATTGTACTATTTCAACAAATTTAAGGATTAAATTTAATTGTCATTTACAAAATTTTATCTATCGACTTTCAATTGGACCATAAATGGTCCATTGACTATTGATCTTTACAAATTTTCGTCATCGACTTTCAATTTAACCATAAACGATCCATTGACTATTTGGTTGGCTAATGACTATCAGCCTCGGTTTGAGCCTATTGTCGTTGTTCCCCTATGGAAACTTATTTAATGGGCTCGGGGCCAGCCGAGCAGTCAGGTCGGGACCGAGCATAAGAAGCTAAGAACAGAAGCTTACTAAGCTAATTGGATGCTTAACTTTAAGGTCGGGTTAGTTAAGTACTCTCTTGCTGTCGGGTCAGGTTAGGGACTGATCCTCGCTACGCGTGGAGTATCCGATCAGGTGCTCGATTGGCTCGGTATACTGGGTATATTTTCTATCAAATATGTATGAAAATAAAAAGATAAAAATAAAAATGTATATGAGTATTTATGAAAGGTTTAAAACATATATTAGTATATGAGTATAGGGACGGATGAAAAGTGTGTTTGATTCAAATAAGAAAAAAAAAATTGTTGAAAAGTTTAAAGTTGGGAGTTAAATATCATCTATTTATATTAGTAGTTTAAAATCTATAAAAATTAATACTAATAGACTTTTAAAGATAAATTGAATACTCATATACGACTTTTGAAAAGCCTGAATCAAATGTAACACTCAATTTTTAAAGTTGTGATTAAATACACCCTCTAAGATACGGGTGAAATTTACATTTTTGGCATAATTATTATTATTTTTTAATTTGAAAAACCAAGTGGTGGGAAGAAGATGTAGCTTTGTATACGTGGGCGATAGACAGAAGTCTTCGGTAAAGCCAATCCACGTGCTTGTCAAGGAGGACGAGCTTTTTGCATGGCGATGGGCGGCGCCGCTATGGTAAAATCAAATTGCCAGAATTACCCCCATCGCGATTCTAGTACAAAACCAAATTTCACGATGCATTCAAACCGATAAAGCGGCCGGACCGCCGGAATAAACTAATTTGAGTAGCAGGATTGCCGGAGGGGGTCTAATGTACGCACAACTCCTCGCCGTTCTAACGTGCGCACATCTCGCGTTCGCTTCATCAGCCTCCCAGGGCTTAAATATCCGACAGGTGACCGACGATGAAATCCCCGCCGCCGGCGAAAACCTCCTCGGCACCGCCACCGAGGTGAGGTTCAAATCCTTCATGCAGGAGCACGGAAAAGAGTACGCTACACACGAAGAATACGTGTACCGCCTCGGAGTGTTCGCGAAGAACCTGATCAGGGCGGCGGAGCACCAAATCCTGGACCCCACAGCCGTCCACGGCGTCACTCGATTCTCCGACCTTACCCCGAATGAGTTTGAAAAGATGTATATGGGAGTACTCAAAGTCCCTGGCCGGGCTTCCTTACTGGGCGGCAAAGCGGAGGCGCCACGGTTGGACGTGAGTGGCTTGCCGGAAACTTTTGACTGGAGGGATAAAGGCGCCGTTACTGAAGTCAAGATGCAGGTTAGTAATTTAGTATAAGCATTCATTGTTTCTGGTATCTTATAATCTAAGATTAGGTTAAAATTACCCAATTGAGTTATAATGAGCCAATCCAAATCGAACTGAATTTAATCAATTAGTTAGATCTTATAAACCTGTTTCTCTTTTCACTAACTCAGATTGAATTCAATCAATTAGCTAGTTGCTGGTCTCTCTTATGCAGGGGTCTTGTGGGTCATGTTGGGCATTTAGCACCACTGGAGCCATTGAAGGAGCCAACTTCATTGCAACTGGGAAGCTGCTTAATCTCAGCGAGCAACAGCTTGTAGATTGTGATCACACGGTATTGATTGCAAGTTTCACTGATCTGATCTGATATGATCTTTATTTCCGATCACTGGCCATCAATAATGCATTAAATTTCATTATCGCTCCTTGTGAATTAGTGTGATATAAAGGACAAGAGCGCCTGTGACGATGGATGCTCAGGCGGCCTGATGACAAATGCTTACGAGTACCTGATCGAGTCTGGAGGCATAGAAGAAGAGGCTTCTTACCCTTACACGGGGAAGGGCGGAGATTGCAGATTTGAATCGGAGAAAGTAGCAGTCAAAGTTGGGAATTTCACCAATCTCCCTGCCGATGAGGACCAAATGGCCGCATATTTAGTAAATCATGGCCCTCTTGCAGGTAATCTGAACTCTGATCTAATCACATATATAACGAACACAAAACTAATCCATCTTGATTGATTGGTGGATGCAGTTGGGATAAATGCGGTGTATATGCACACATACATGGGAGGAGTTTCGTGCCCTCTTATTTGCAGCAAGAAACGGCTCAACCATGGCGTTCTCCTGGTTGGTTATGGTAAAAAGGGATTCTCCATTCTGAGATTAGGGTTCAAGCCGTACTGGATTATCAAGAACTCGTGGGGAAAGGACTGGGGAGAGGAAGGGTATTTCCGGATGTGCAGAGGGCACGGCATGTGTGGAATCAGCAACATGGTCTCCGCCGTGATGACCCGACCCGGTAGCTATATCGCATCTTAAGGCCGCGCGCCGCGGCATGTAACGTACTTTAATTTCGTGTTAAAATTTAAAAATAATGTTAGTTATAGCATTAGTCAATGTGAGTTTCTATATATATATATATATATATACTAGCCTGGTTTGTATCATAGTTGGATTACACATTAATGCTTATATACTTAACAACTTTACTTAACAACTTAACAGATACTATACGGGATAAAAGAATAATTCAAGGTGACTTATTAAAAATTGACAAGGAAAACTTGATCCATGTAATTGAATGTAAAGTAGTTAATCAACAAACAACACTTGGCCATTCATTGTAAGAGAGGAGTTTACAACATCCATATTCCCTAACTCGGTATATATACAAGATAAGTTTACTATAAGTTAGCAAACTATAACTATATATAAAATGTGCAATATATATAATATAAAAAGCTCAATAAATTGCATGCGTTAACTTATTAGCTTCCTAGCTAATTGGATCGGAGTTTGATTTTGTGTCAAATCTTAGGGGCGAGGCTTGATCGAGCTGATGGGCATTTGGTAGTGATTGAATGAACTTTTGTGGAACCAAACACTTGTCATTTGAGTACAACTTTTCTTGAATCAATACTGACCCAACCAGACTCTCCAATTCTTCACTCATATATGTCTCCCCACTTTCCTGCAATAATATATAACTGTCAAGCTCAGCACAATTATATCATTATTAAGATGGATAATTAGAAAATTAATACTCATTAATTAGTGGGAAGCTCAACAGTTGTAACATCTAATTGCCCTACCCATAATCACCTATGAACCAATCGAGTTGAGTTGATCGTGCAGACTAATATTTAATTACAGTGTTGACAAGATTAAAATCCTTAGCTTAAAGTTGAGTTTACTTATAATTTACTTACGAACCAATTGAGTTACTCTGAGTTGATCGTGCAGACTAATATTTAATTACAGTGTTGACAAGATTAAAGTCCTTAGCTTAAAGTTGAGTTTACTTATAATTTACTTACGAACCAATTGAGTTACTCTGAGTTGTTCCTGCAGACTAACAAGTGTAGTATTAACAAGATTGAAGAACTTAAAGTTGAATTTACCCACAATCTATTTATGAACTAATTGAACTATGCTCGTCGGAGCTAATAACATTATATTGATCTAATTACCTGTGATGAGTCGTGGCAGGATTGAAGCACTGAAAGTTGAGTTTGCATGTATTTGATGTACTTATAACCGGCCTGAAACATCTCGGCGGTGTTCATCTTCTGCCCGCCGGGAATGAGCTTTCCCAGCTCCTGCGTCTTATCCGCAATCCTCCTCCTCCTCTCCCTCGCCGCGATGCTCTGAGCCGACAGCGTTTTCACGCCGCACTTCCCGCTATCGTTCTTCTTCGCCACCTCAGTCTCCCCGCGATGATCACAGTACGCAGGGAAGGAAGAACCACTCGGGAGCTCCGGCAAAAGGCTCTCCTGCAACAATGACGATGAAGGAGGCGGCGGCGAAGGCTTCAAGTCTTGGAGTAGAGGAAGGTTCGGAATGAAGGCGGCGCCGAAACAATTCTGGGTAATTTCCAGTGGGAAATGGTCGTGGTAGAGCTTCTGGCGTTTCGGGTGGGCCTGGAATTCGAGTTCCCCGGGAAATAAATATTCCGGCGGCGGCGGTGGCGGAGAAACGTAGTTGTCGGAGAAAATGAACTCGCCGGAGTTGAAAAGAGGATCAAAAGAAAACAACGACGGCGACGACTCTGGGAGAAGAAAACTGCGGTCGTTGAAGCCGAAAAGAAGCTCCGCCGGCGCCGGTGCTTCAAGCTGGTGATCTACTACTGTTTGCTGCTGCGGGAAGAAAGGAGGTGACGCCATAACAAGACCAGAAGCATCGTCCAAGGTTTCGCTGAAGTTAAGGTAGTGATCATGAGTAGTTTCCCAGTTGGAGCAGTAGCTTAAACTCGCCATTTCTAGAAAGCTTGCAAGTTCGATCTCTCTGAAAATGCTAATTAACAATCAAAATAAGAAAAAAGTACAGTACTTAAGTGTAATAAGTAGACAAAATAACGGATAAGGAGAGAGAGAGAGAGAGATACCTACGACAGAAGATAGTGTAGATACTATGTTGTCTTTAACGTTCCGAGATATGCTAATATGTCGTTGAATGACACACAGTAGACAAAAGTAGTGAAGAAGCTTCAATTCTGTTCCAGATTCTACAGTTACGTTGTTAGCTGCTTTAAGGCCTATATTACAGGGAGAGACGTGGGCAGTTACCGAGAGAGAAGGGGGCAGTTATAATTTTCAGGAGTAACTAACTCCTGCCAATTATGAGGCTACTATTTTTTAATAATTAACTTAGTAATCCCTCATATTTATTTCTGAAACAAATTTAGTAATCCCTCATATTACACTTTAGCATGTAATATAAAGTATCTTGCAGACGTGACCGATTTCGATCAAACCTAAATTAATTTTATAGTGCTAATGCGTTAGCAATAAAATATTATAAAAAACCATTAAGTGTATTTACAATCTTGTATTTGAGTTATTATATTCTGAATTGGAGTGCTAATGCTACAGTTTAGTATGTATGATTTATATTCCAAAAATCATAAAGAAATTATAACTTTAGTTTCAAAGTTAAGTTGCAACGTCGTGTTTAGAGTCGGTGTGTGAGCGAGAGAAATCATGTATTATTGTAGTTCTTGGGGCGCATTTCCCCTCTAATTTTTATCTAAAAAAAATGTTAAGTTGTAAATAGACAATTACTCTATTACTAAGGGGATGTTTGGTTCATGGAAAATGTTTTTCAAAGGAAAACATTTTTCTTAAAGTGAAGGAAAATGTTGTTTTCTAGTGTTTGGTTCATGGAATTCATTTTTCATTGGAAAATGAATTCCTCAAATTTGAGGAAAACAAAATCCTTGGTTGGACCAAGGATTTTGTTTTCCATGGAAGATGGGAAGAAAAAGTGAATAGATTGCCCATTTTATCCTTGTTTTCTCTTTTAATTATATTACTTTTATTAATTTGTAGGGGCATATAGGTCTTTATACTCATTATTCCTTACAATTCCAAATCTAACCAAACAATAGAATTAGTATTCCCAGTAATTTTTTTTTCCAACCAAACAATGAAATTCATCTTCCTAGTAATTATTTTTCCATGAAATTTCAATTCCACTTCCTTTAAAATATTTTTCGCGAACCAAACGACCCCTAATAGAAAAAGAGTCATTCTCATATATGTTACTCCCTCCGTCCCGAATTGGTTGTCTCATTTGCTTTTTGCACGCTTTTTAAGGAATTAAAGTAAATGCTATGTATTTTCCAATTATGCCCTTCACTTTTTCACTTTTGGAAATAAAAGCAAAAGTCATAAGGGTAATTTGGGAAAAAGTAGAATGATGGTGATGTTCAATTTTAGAAAGAGGACAACATTTTGGGACAAACTAAAAAGGAAAGTAAGACATGCAAAATGGGACAGAGGGAGTATAATAAAAAAGATACTTATAATACAAATGTTGTACAATAAGCACGCATTATTAGTATTTTATAGTTATTTCTGTACTAGTATATATAGTCTTTCAACATTCCTTATTTTTATTCTCTAGACAACACACTAGAACAATTCATCTTAACTATCTTTCTAAGCATGGAATAAAAGAGTAATTTGAGAGCCCCTTTTTTCAGATCTTGTCTCATCTTTATATTCTTCATACAATTTTTATATACTGAATATAGATGGAGGGTATTTATTACATCAGGATTGTTTGGATACATAAATAAAATTTACGAAGTATTAACAAAATGAAATTAGAATGGATCGAGCATTATTAACATTGTAATCTATTGACATGAAATGATTTTTGCAAATGAAAGTGTCATGAATTTAGATCCCGATACAGAAAATATTGATTCATTGTGTTAAACTGAGAAAGTAATTAATTAGTTATATAGAGGTACCAGAGTTAATAATAATAAAAAAAAAAAGGACTAAGGATCAAATAGACCACTTAACTGCGCACTCAATTGCAATTAGGTCATCGAACTAAAAAAGAATGCAATTGGATCTATGAACAACGCAAACTCATCCAATTCAATCCAAAAATGCCCTATTTATCCAGAGAGACAATTACCGAATTTTAAAATATTTTTTTAATAATTTTAAATAAAAAAAACTAATTAAAAAAAAAAACACGTCGTCTCCGCCGGAGACGAAGGGATTTCCGTCTCAGGCCGTCTCCTTGGCTGGGGAAACGGCCTAAGACGAAAGTTGCTTCGTCTTCGGCCGTCTCCATGGCCGGGGAAACGACCGAAGACGAAGCCACCACTTCGTCTCCGCCGGAGACGAAGTGGCAGACAACTCTCAGGTCGTCTCCCTGGCCATGGAGACGGCCCAAGACGAAGAAGAACTTCTTCGTTCCCGGCAGAGACGAAGTTTTTTTTTTTTTTTTTTAAATTTAATTTTAATTTAAAAATATTTTAAAAAATTCGGTAACCACCTTTCCAGGTAAACAGTTCAATTTGGATGGAATTGCATGCATTTGCGTTGTTCAGGGACCCAATTATATTTTTTTAAAGTTTAATGGTCTAATTACAATTTAGTGCAAAATTGAGTGGTCTATTTGACCCTTATTTAAAAAAAAAAAAAAAAAAAAAAAAAGCATTACAAGATGTTGAATTATTTAAAAGAAATTTCTCCATTCAGTAGTTCTCTTTAAACGTTCGCCCAAAGAGCGTCGGTTGAAATAAAATCTGTTGCATTTGCTGTCCCTCACCATTTTCGTCGGGGAAAATACCTACCGCCCAGCTCGGTTTCACTTCTTCCTCAGTGATCCACACAGAAATGTCGCGGAAGAGAAATTACAGCGACGAGGATGAAGACGACACCTTTTACTACCGCTATGCCTCCGCCCCTCTACCACCGTCATCCTCCAAAACCCTAACCACTGCTACTAACACTTCCAAAGGCAGCGGCCGCCTAGCTCCTTCCAAATCCACAGTCTACGTCAGCAACCTAGATTACTCCCTCACCAATTCCGACATCCACACTATATTCTCCACTTTCGGCAAGGTCGCTAAGGTGACCGTTCTCAAGGACCGGGTGACCCGGAAAAGCCGTGGCGTGGCGTTCGTCCTCTTCGTCTCCCGCGAGGATGCGATCAAAGCTGCTAAAGGAATTAACAAAAAAGTCCTCAACGGCCGGACTTTATCGGCCTCGATTGCAGCCGATAACGGCCGGGCAGCGGAGTTTATCCGGCGGAAGGTGTATGCGGATAAGAGTCGGTGCTATGAGTGCGGTGTGGAAGGGCACTTGTCCTATGAGTGCCCGAAGAATCAGCTTGGCCCCAGGGAAAGGCCGGAGCCGTCAAAGAAAGGGGGGAGGAGAGGTGGGGGTGACGGTAGGGTTAAAGGGGGCGAAGGGGGTTGGGAGGAAGAAGAAGAAGATGAAGGAGAGGCTTTCGTGGACGACAATTGGGCTTCCGCAGTGGATGGAGGTGCAGAGGATAGACTACTAAGCGCAGGAGACACCGAGGAAACGAAGAGAGTGAAGAGAGAGAAGAGAAAAGGATATTTTAGTGATGAGAGTGAAGAAGATGACTGATTTTCTCAAGAACCCAACAGGGGGACTATATGAGCAGCATTATAGTTGTCAGACTAGGATGGTGAAGATTAGAAGGAGAAATTCTCCAAAGGTATGAACTTTATACTGAGCTCACTTCTACCATACACAATTTGGATTTGTTGTTGTGTTCATGTGATGGAATGATATGGTTTTCCCAATCAGTATTGAGTTTGATGCAGTATGATACTTCTGTATATGAAACTTTGTAGATAGTGCATAGACAACTTCCATGTTTGGTGCATTTTTCTTGTGGACAAAGAAGTGGAAAATACTTGCAAATTGTTTAGATCAATATATAACGCTTTGTTAACACTAAAGAAGAGAGGACTCACATTGTACGGATATTAATGTGATTGCCAAACTATAAGCCAAGATTCAATTGACACAAGATTGCCAAGTTGGTTAGGCTGTTGACCGGTAACCACAAGGTTACAAGTTCTACTCCCGCGCCTAGTGGCCTTCTTGGTTTGAGCCCATCAGTTATGGACAACCTAGACTGGTTTACCTTGTCACTCAAAAAGATAGCCACATTTCACCACATAATGGAGATGAAGTGCATCATGTTTAATGTAAATTTCACATTATGGAAATAACTTACTAGCTGTATTTCAATTTCCATCATCTCTGTCATTATCTGGACAAACTCATAGATCTTTTTGTTAGAGTGAGAGAGAGAGAGAGAGAGTTGGAAAACTCTCCTTCTCCATGCACCACTTAGGCCTTAGCCCACGCATTCAACTTGGGGCACCCTGCTTCTAAGCTGAAGTTGCCGAAGGTTTCATAGGCATAAAACCAGCGGCAGTACCCAACGAGAGCAACATCACAAACCCAAAATTCTCACCTTCAAAGTATGATATGTCTCTCTCTCCAGCAACTTTGCACATTTTGTGAGGTCCTTACTCTTCTCCTTTGATCTTCAGATTTTCTACCAAATACATATGGCTGCAGTCAAAATACAATTTTGTTTCCTGTCAAAAGAAGTAAGATTTTCTTCTTTGCAAGTGAACAAATGAAAGTGCTAAAATTTAGGCCTTACCTTATTATCCGTTACTCAACCCAGAACTTAGCCTGGGAAAGGTTAAGAGGGTTGTGATGGGGCCTTGTCCTTCTACACATTATCAACATGGTCAAGTGCAATCATAGATTAACAAACTGCTTTGCCATTTTGAATGAAAACTGGGATTTTCTTGTTGACTACTTTTGTGATTTTACTGTGTATTCAATCATTGAAAACCTTGTGGTCTCCTTCACAAACCATGCTTCACAATCAGAGGTCCAATAGACAGTTCCTGACATCAAGCGGAACCTATCTTGAGATAGATTGTGGGAATAGCGATTTTTTTGTTCAAATCAAAATTCGTCTAACCTTCCCTGAAATACTGGCTTGCTGTTTCAACTTAGGATTATACATGCTTGTTTATCAACCTAAAATGATTTCAGTAGTGGACATTGGACAATAGTATTTTCATGATTTCCAAGATCTTAAACGTTTGTCTTTGTTCTTTACAGGAGCTCCTGAGAACAACCAAACTCAATTCCTTACACAGGATAGACTCTTGTACTGTATTTGATAATAATTCTTTCTTTTGTAAGGGCAAGCTTGGCCTTTGGTTTTAAAATTTTGCCCTGCTGTATCAGGCTGGGTATCTTTCTTTAAAATGTGCATTGAATTTATTGGTTTGTATGCAGCATGGTCATGTTCCACCCCAGTGCAGAATGGGTACACTATTGAGTAAATGTCTAATCACTTAATCATCCTTCCCGATACTCTATCGGTCTGTGACGTGGGGCCTTTGGAGTTGGGGATTCCCCCTTTTGGGAACAATGCATTTTTGAAAAAAGATGCCCAAATTATACTATGTATCATGATTCATATTGTAAGGTGGAAAACTAATAAATACAAAATATTCATTTTTACTATAATGAATGTTTATTTTTAAAATATTAAAAATTTATTTTTAGATAATATACAAAAAGTATATTAAAAATGAATTTTAGGTTGGAATGTTGGACCATGGCCTCTAATATTATAAATTATATATATATATATATATATATATATATATATATATATATATATATATATATATATATATATATATATATATAATGATTGAAAGAAGCAGGTATTTTATGTCATAATTTAAATTGAGGCTTTTGTTTTAAAATAATTACGAATATAAAATATAAAATTAAACACTGATCTGAAAATACAAAATATTTAACGCAGATAGATAGATATATTGTTGAAAACAAAATTATATGGAATAAAAGTACTGAAAAATGACACTTGGATCGAGTATTGATAATGTAAATATATACTTGGATTTTTCAAAAATCATTTCTTAGGTGGACAGCCCATATCTTATTAATGATTATTATATTTACTTTCTTCATGGTAAGTTACAACGTGTTAATGTCTAACAGTCAAGTTGTAATCAAATTTGCTTTTCAAAATTATGGAGGGATTATTCGAAAGTTGCGTCTTCATAAAACTAACAGAGAGACACGTTCTTTAAGAATTACTGGCCCTATCTCCTACCTCCTACTGCAGCTGAGGGATTGTCATTACTCAATTATGGAATGATATTCTACCCCTACCTCCTATTGCAGATGTTAGTTCGATGGAAGGTTGACTTTCAGGTTGGTTGGTTGTTGACGATGTAGAATTGAAACACAATTTTGTTGCGCGTTGATGATGGTATATTTGGAAAGCCATAAATGATATGTTGTGGAACCATTCTCCTTGGTCGAATGAGGGGACAAGTTTGTTTGCTAGTAGATGATTGGCACTACATTTATACTCATTCGCCACCTTTGCATGATACTGTAGCAAGTGTTAATGCAAATGACGGCTTTTGTATCCATGTTGATGTCGTGGTGTTTCCAGATAGTGATGTGAGGTCTATTGCTGTGCTGGTGCATGATGGGGATGGTGTGTTTATTGTGGCTCTAAGCTTGACTGTGAGATGCCTTTAGGGCTCACATCTAGTCGAGGCTATGGCAATTAAGGAGGCGCTATCTTGGGTGATGGGGTGCGATTGGTAGATGGTTTCTTCTGATTGCCAGATGATTTGTTCATCATTGGTTTCTACTTCTCTGGATTATTCCTATGCTAGCTTGTGTGATCAGGGAATGTTGAAGTCTCAAACGACGGTTTGATAATGTGTCGTTTCATTTTATTCCTAAATAAGCGAATAAGTTTGTCAATGTCTTAACAAGGGAAGATAGCTAGTTCTCAGTCTGGTCCTCTTACTTGGATTTCTGTCTATCCTTCATGTATTCAACATTTAGTTTTTGATATCTATTATGTTTTCCACTCAAAAAATAAATAAATAAAATTACTGGCCCTTATTATTGATTTTTTTTGTTTAAAATAAAAGTGATTAAAAATATTATTTTTTAAAAAAGTGATTAAAAATATTTTTTTTTTTGAAAGTAAGTGATTAAAAATATAATTGTTGATTTTTTAAAAACAAATATTCTGACATCATCAACTCACTTTTGCCATCATTGTTCTGTTCTTTACGCTGAGCTCCTCCTCCCGCCTACGATCACTGATCCATTTCTTCTACCAGATCCGAACAGGTATTTTCTCTTCCCGTACGTAGGACGTATATACACAGATACGTAATTTATGTACGTACGTACGTACGTACGTTTTCTCGCTCCTGTATATATACGTAATTGTACGGAAATAATGTACGTATTTGAGTTGCAGGAAGCAGTTATTGTGATCGAGCTGGTTGAATTCTGATGGCATTATTCCGTGGACTCCCCATTCCTGCAGAGAAGGAGGTGAGTTTCTGTTTCATTTTCACCTCAATGTCACTCGAGCCTTAGCTGGAATGGCTTTTCACTGTTCCTGGATTCGTAATCTGTATCCGAATTTACCGTAATTCTGCTATTATGAACGGAATTGATATTTGGTGTTCGTTGGGATAGGATTTTATTTTGTGGTTTTATTTAGAGATTGGTTTGATGCGTTATTGCATTCTCTCTCATTTTGTTGAATGGGAATTGCAGTACTTACGAGATGACCTGTGTAAGATAGATGAAAGCTGGACAACTGCACGTTTCGATTCTCTTCCCCATGTTGTTCATATTTTGACCTCGAAGGATCGGGAAGGTGAAGTGCATATTCTGAAGGAACAGAGTGAAATTGTCGAGGAAATAGTAGACGAAGTAGTGCATGCATATCATGGTGGTTTCAATAAAGCAATTCAGAATTATTCGCAGGTGATTTACAGTTCTGCAACTCAATTTGGACTAGTAGCAAAAGAGAGACCCTCAGTCTCAGCCAATGATATCTTTGTTTTGTGTTGCATGTGATCAACATTTTTACTCGGTGTCAAACAACTTTTTATCTGCTTTATTACATTTTTGAGATGGTGACAGCGTCTTATATATTTAATGTATACATATTACCCCCAAAACCCTCTTCTGCAGATTCTGCGGTTATTCACTGAATCTACCCAGAGCATTAGTGGCTTAAAGGTTGATTTGACTGATACAAAGAAACTTTTGGGTGCCCGTAACAAGCAGTTACATCAATTATGGTATCGGTCAGTTACACTGCGACATATTATAGCTCTCTTGGAGCAAATTGAAGGCATAGCAAAGGTGAAATGTTTTGGTTTTCCTATTTTTATTTTAAGATACTTCTCTATCTAGTTGATAATCAAGTTGTATTTCTCTGATGTGGCAATGCAGTAGGATCATAACAATGAGACCAACTCTATCTTTCTAGAATGGATTAATCTTTGAATATTTTGCAGTACTTTGTAATTGTAATAGCTATATAGGGTGCCTAGTATGTAGGCTCAGCTTGGCCAAACTCATTGCCCAGTTCCACAGTGGTATACAACAATTTATAATAATGTCTGAAAACAAATGTAATTAATTTAACCTGGGTTTTTTCCACCACAATTCGTGCTACTTTTATACCATTAAACTTGTACCTTTCTATTAACTCTAGTATGACTTGTTTAGATTAGCATTATTGAAAATATTCTTTCCTATTCTGCACCTTGGACATTAACCATATTTGTACTTTGTTTTAAATACTGAACTGATAATCCACACCAATGAAATATTGTGAGAAACAAGCGCTGGATATTTGAGACTATGCTGAAATTAACATAGTGTAAGTGGACAAATCAGTGGGGTCAATTATCCCCACTATATTACATATGGCTCCATTCTTGTACCTGACTTGCCTGCTTGATGTAGTTCTACCTTGGTTACTTGGTGCTTAGAGAAAAAAAAATATTGAGCCTTATTGTGAACCTCAATAGCAATGAAAAAGTTTGGTGCACCAGTGCACACACTAAATGAACATGTTGTTCATTGCAATTTAATGTGTGTTCAGTCCAATACAAATGAATGACCTTCATGTTTATTCTAGTAAGCTTTATTCACATGAACATGTAGTACTATTCAAATGACCATGAAGTTCATTCAATGGGTGGCCAAAGCAATGTAAGCCTAGGCTTATGATAAATGTTAGTATGATTGTCAAGAAAAGGATACAAGCCCCACAGATTATTTCTTTCTTATTTTCTTTTGAGATACCTAGACATATTACTACATTTTTCTGTCTCTAGGCCTTATTAATTTTTTGTCTCATCTTTCTATGATGAATCCCAGATTCCAACTCAGATAGAGAAGTTCATTGCTGAAAAGCAGTTCTATGCTGCTGCGCAATTTCAAGTTCAATCAGCTGGGATGCTTGATAGAGAGGGCCTTCAGACGGTTAGTCTTCTTTTCATATTCCTTTTGTTATTGTTCCACTTTTTGTATCTGCCATAAAAATCCTCCCTGGGAACATTGTATGTAACCTATTTCGCAATCAATTCCTCAACTCTTGGATGCCTATGCTCTCTCTAAAGGCCGTCGAATTATCATTATAATTGACTTATTGTATTGCTCTCATCTTCTTGCTTTAGATCTCTGCATATTCATTTAATAATTACTGGCACTTACTGCTTTGTGGTTCAAGTTGAAATCTCAGTTTGGTTGCTAATTATGTGTATCTCCTATTGCTTAGGTTGGTGCTCTGCAGGATGTCAAAACTGAATTGTCAAAGCTCCGAGGAGTTCTCTTCTACAAAATATTGGAAGATTTGCATGCTCATCTCTATCATAAGGGTGAACACAGGTAATATAATTTCTATATGGTTGGATATGGGATGCTTGAAACAAGTGACTTTACCTTGGTGTTTATGCTGAATTATTTACCTCATTGGCTCTTTCAGGAATAAGTGAATAACGCAAGCCAAACTTTTCGGATGCAATATTTTAAAGTTATTTTTTTCGTCTCAAATATATTTCAGACTGGAGTTCTGCCTGTTCCTTAAATTTTATAGTCAGAAATTTCAGTAAAGCTTTGTAGAAAACATGCATATGTTTATTTATTCAGTTTTATTATTGTTATTATTGTCTTAGGAATGTTACAGTAACTTAAGATTTCTGTTTATAATGCAGTCCAGCTCTGTTCAATATTAATGAAAGGGAGGATAAAATCCCAACTACAACAGCCATTGCATTGTCTCGAAAAACCAAGTAAGGTGAAAATCAGTTTGGTTCATTAGGAGCTGGCAACAGATCTAGAAAACCAAGTTCTCTTGATGGGGGGTATGACAAGAATTATATACTTTCATGTGACCTTCCAAATATCCATCGTCAATTTTTTAGTGAATTTGGTTTTCTTGTACCTTTTTAATGATGTCATCTAACAATATTTAACTATATGCATTTCCTAGTGATTTTATCTATAATAATTGATATCACGATAACATATTGGTATATTTATAAAAAGAACATACCGGTATACTTCCAAACCTGATGTTTTTCAGATTCAAGTGATATTGCTTCTCAAGTTCAACACTATTGTTTTATTTCTTTCTGTTTCTCTTGTTTGGTTGTGCTTTTATGACTTGGCCACAACCTTCAACGCTTCACTTGCCCTGCTTTGATGCCAGTTGCTGGGGTTATGAATTGAGATTGGGGATTTGTAATGCTTAAGAAAAGGCATGAGCAATGTTTTCTACTTTTCTATTGTTTACTTATTTTGGATGGGTTGGGGTAGTTTCTGCCACGACATTTAATGCCAAAATAGAACACTTTTGGTTTACAAAGTAGTCTATAAAAAATCTTGCATGTTGGATGAGTCAACTCTTAGATCAGCTATAAGCATACACAACCAAGTTTCTAATAGAAAAGACTTTGGAACAAAGTTAAAAAGTTATACTAATTTGTGGCAGCTGTGCTCACTGTGTACTTTCTACATAATTCTCAGCTCTTCAGTGAATGGCCATGGTGAACATGGTGTGCTGGAACATCATAATACTGCATCAGGTTCTAAAGGTGGTGATGGTGCCTTAAAGGATGCCAAAGATGCACATCAAGTTCCAACATGGCTTTCAGATGCTACTCCTGATGAATTTATTGTATGATTGATGCAAATCTAATCAATAATGTCTGTCTAACTGGACCTTGGTTTTCTATTTTATTAGGGGTGAACTATTAACTTATGTTTTGAATGCAGGAAGCAATGACAAAGAGTGATGCTCCATTGCATGTGAAGTACTTGCAGACCATGGTTGAGTGCCTTTGCATGATTGGCAAAGTTGCTGCTTGTGGTGCCATAATATGGTGTGTGGTTAGCTTGCTTTTGGATTATTTATACCTACTTCTTAAAATTCCTCTTTGTATGGAGATATATGTTACAATGTTAGATAATGGATTGTAGATTAGCAGCTTCAGACTAGGTTGAATTGTTGAAACAGAAGGTAGTTCAGCATTTTGATATGCTTTCAGCTTACCTCTGAGCAGAACATTTTACCTAGAACATTCTCAATCTATGATCATCTCTTCCACTTATCACAATAGAAATGGTTCAATGTACATAGTTTTCTTTTACACAGTAACAATTAAGAGATTTTAATGACAATTTCGCTTTCAGATTGCTAAGTTCTTGTGATAATGATCTTTTCTTGAATCTGTATTTCAATGTTAATTTTGATTCCTTTTCTCTCTCTCTCTTTTTCAACAGCCAAAGATTCAGGCCTACAATACATGAGATAATCACTACCAAGATCAAATCTATTGCAGAAAATGTAAATAGTTCAAGACCTGACATTGGCCCATGCGCTCAAACTGCCATTACAGGTTTACACCTTCTGAAAGGAAAATTTGAGAGTTATCCATCACTGGAACAAAAACGTCAAAATGGGATATCAATGGCTGGAGTGGTGCTAGCTGTCAGTCCTGTCTCATCTGTAATGGCTCCTACAGGAAAAGCACAGGCTGCTGCAAAGGAGCTTCTTGATTCAATTTTGGACTCTGTTCTTTGCATATTTGGTTAGGAAACACTAAGTCTTGGAAATTCCTTATTGTCTCCAGAAATCAAGTGCTGTAATCTTTTGCACTTAACTTTCATGAGTATTATTGCAAAATTTTCAGAAAACCACATAATTGTTGGCGATCTTCTCGAGACAAAATCTTTGCAACAAGTTGACTTGAATACACCAAGGTCTATGCCTACTGATATTAATTGGAATGCAGATTCAGACATGTCTCGTGATACTGGAGGCTATAGTATTAGCTTTTCCTTGAATGTCTTGCAGGTTTCTTACTTCCTCTCTCTTTGTTATTTGCCTTTTGGTGCTAACTTCTATTCAGGCGGTTAGTTTCATACAATGGAATTTTGTTATGCATTTACCACTAACATATTATTCCATTAACTGTGAAAATAGAGTGAATGTCAACAATTAATTTGTGAAATCCTACGGGCAACTCCTGAAGCTGCTTCTGCTGATGCTGCTGTCCAAACAGCCAGACTTGTTAGCAAGACACCTTCAAAGGATAAGAGGCAAGTGAATGAAATGCTGTAGGAAAAAAAAAACACTCAAAGGCTGTAAAACTGGTATGATAGGGAGGCATTTATAGGCTAGTACAAACTACATTTCTAATATCTTGTGAGGAACAAATCCAAATTCGGAACTCATAACAAAAAATATCATCAAAACAGAAAATCTAAACAAAAAAGCATGTGTTTCAACATATGTCAATATCATGCCTTAATCTTCTAATGCTAATTTGTATTTTTTTTTTTTTTTTGTTTTGAATTTGTATATCCTTTTAAACTCTGTTTCCTTTTTTTTTTTTTTTTTTTTTTTTTTTTTTTTGGTTTTTGTTTTTGTTTTTGCTTAAGATGAGAAACTAGAGTCACAAATTGTTCAGGGTTTTGTGAATTGGATCAAGATAGCACTATATTTCTCTTCCCATTGTTTTGTAATTATGTAGTGGAAAATGCATTTGTACTCTTGGATGTGAAACATTACTTTTAAAAAAAAAAATTATATTCAAGGATGTCTTTTATCTGAACTAAAAGATTGAGATGATAATGAGGTTAGGCATTTGATGTTTTATATTTTATCCTCAATATTCCTCCCATGCATCATGCATGCCAAGATTCTTTGGATGAGCTAAACGTGGCGTGGGAGTTGAATTTAAGACCTCTACTTGCTATGATACCATGTTAAAGAATGTGCTCTACCTCAACCAAAGGCTTATTCCATTAGTGAGGATACACATTGGTTATGTACATTGTCTTTATATATATATATATATATATATATATATATATATATATATATATATATATATATATATATATATATAGTTCATCGATGATATATAAATTATGGTTGGGTGATGTGTTGGATTTTTTACTTCTATTCCATATTGTTTTTCATGTTTCATTGTATTGAGTTGACTATCTTGATGCTTATGGTTTATTTTTATCATAATGCTTATTGGTTGTAGAGATGGATCTGAAGATGGTTTCACGTTTACTTTTCGCTTCACAGATGCTACTGTATCTGTTCCTAACCATGGTAATAAAGCATGTATTAAAATTCTTAAATATTTCTGGTTTCACTTCAGGAATGAACTTAATCTCTTTGATGTTATCTACCCAATAATGGGTCTCCCCTCCCCGTTTTTATTATGCATGCCTTGCATTTGAATAGGTCATTAATTACATGACTACATATATTCAAAATTCATACTTTTCCAAATAAACTCAGAAAGCTGTGTCTAAGATTGGAACTTTTTGTATACTAAGTTTCCTTTCTTCAGTCTATTATCTGTCTGCGATTGTTAGAATTGACCTGTCCTTAGTCCTGATTGCATACTAGGTCTTCCCCATCTTCAGTCCCTTCCCTGATCTTATTTGTCCACGACTATTGGTATTCAGGAGTTGACCTTATCAGCCAAGGATGGAGTTCAAGGGCCTCAAATGTAGTTAAAGAAGGTTATGGCAGTACAGCTGTTTTGCCTGAGCAGGGACTATATTTAGCAGCATCTTTATATCGGCCTTCTGTTGAGGTATGAGTTCTCCTAGCTTTCTAGTTTCCTTAAGTAATGGTGAATTTCCTGACTAATTCTTTTTATTTTTTATTTTTGTAGTTTACAGATAAAATTGCTTCAATGCTACCTCAAAAGTTTTCCCATCTTGGGTAAGCTGGATCATTTTGCAGGCTTCTTTGGTGATTTTCAGCCATATTTTAGTCTAGAACAGGACACTGAAAGCTAGTAGCCTTTAAACATACTATCTTCACCTGCATAGGGTGTACATAGCTGAAAAGAGAAGTTTGGGAAGATTTGTGATTGGCAGCAATCAATTCAACATTTTATTGTCATAATCATGAGAAAGTACTTCATGGGTTTCTGAAACTTATTAAGAATCTGAATCCTTTTTTTTTTTTTATTTTTATTTTTTTATAATAATGAACTTCAAGTTAGTACTACTGGTTGAAAGAAAAGGAGGACAGAATAAACTGGATTTCTGACAGGTTGGACCAGTGTAAATCTTGAAGATTAGGTTTCCATTTTGAGTAGAATTTGGAATCAATGATGGTTTGGGTTGGCTTGGTCAAGGGTTTTGTTTAGTAGAAGTGGAAGACATTATAATGGGCAAGCAATAGTTGGCTTGGTTACAGTATGTTAAAGTTGCATAAATAAATGAACTTCCATCCAATAGCAGTGCAACCAAGAAGATTTGGGATTGATTATGATTATATAAATTGAAATGTTTACAGGGTATTTAAACGATTTAATTTTATCTCTGGAGAATACATCTTTCAGAGTGTTACATGTTTCTCTGTTATGGGATTTTCTATTCTTTATATATATAATTGTAATTTGTAGGAAGGATGGGCTGCTAACATTTGTGGAGAACTTTGTGAAGGATCGTTTCTTACCAGCACTGTTTGTAGATTACAGGAAAGCTGTGCAGCAGGCCATAGCAAGCAAGTTCTTTTACTTTTTTCAAATTCTAAATTAGTTGATGTGAATTAAAATAAGATTAAGATTACTAAACTTTTCGCATTTTGCATTAGTTGATTTTAATGTCTAGAATTTTAAAATTTATTTGTTACACTTAATGATAAAAAACGTGATTTTGTTAATGAGGAATTGGAGATGTACCATTTGCAAACACACACACTCACATATGAGACAGTTTGCTTCATTTTCTACTAGTAATCAGCATTTTAGTGGGTTCCTTTGGGCATCATGTTCTCTAGATTTTTGTTTAAGCAGTGGCTGCCTCTCTTTTGTTACTTGTCTATATATGTCAATGAGTACACAAGAAATGCTACTACCAAGAAGTTAGATTAAATTCACCATAGTACACATTGGCATCAACTGAAAATCTCTTTTGTAAGTATCAGTAGTCGTGATAGTTACTCTGACTTTTACAGAACAAAGTCTGGAATGTGGCAATTGTGTCAGTCTGGAAAATGCGAGTTCAGCATGTTACAGAGAAAAGGACTCTTTGTTCATGTGTAAAATATGCCCTATTTATGCATGAACATAAAGGTGTAGGTGGGCTTAGCCCATCACTGAAACCTACTAGGGCTAGGGTTACATTTAACACAGCAAATGACTCGTATTATGGTCTACTATCATGCAATTGCCAAATAATAAAGAAACTAAATGTGGTCCTTAAATGATTTCTGTATTTAACTTGCAATCAGTCTAGAGATGTTAACTCCACTTTCCTTTATATAATTGAGAATTTATCAATATGACAGTGATTTCTGAAATTTTGTTTTTCAGGCCCTGCTGCATTCCGGCCTCGAGCTCAAGCAACGTCTTATATCTCTTCAGTTGAGAAAGGGCGGCCTGTGCTACAAGGACTTCTGGCAATTTCTTTTTTAGCTGAAGAGGTACTCCATATTTGTTATGAGCATTTATTTTCTTAGATCACTAATTCACACACACATACACATGTCCCCTTGGATTGAAGCTTAAGTTTTTTTTCCAGGTGCTTGGATGGGCTCAAGCATTGCCTAAATTTGCTACTGGTGTTGTGAACTATGTGCAAAGTTTTCTTGAAAGGACATATGAAAGATGTCGAACTTCATATATGGAGGCAATGATATTCCCTTTACTTTATTCTTTCTTGTTTTAACTTTTTTTTTTTAAAAAAACTTATATTTCCAAATATTCTTTATTTTGTTATTCACGATGCTCCATTATGATTACTTCCCTTTCTATTATTTGGACTAGTTTATTGTCTGGTTTGCCTTTCTTTAAATTTCTATTAAGCTAAGCAGAGTGTTAAACATGACCCTTGAAGTCTTTAATGGGTGACAACTGGCATGTATGCAATAATCCATTTCATATTTCATCTTTGAAAATTGTTCCCAAAACCGCATCAGGTTTTTTTTTTTTTTTTTTTTTAAAATGCTTTTCTTCATTTCTTCCTAAAACTTTGGTCATGAACTAATAATGTCTAATGATCCCTGGGAGTAATTAGAGTCTCAATTACCCTTCTCTTTCATCAATAAGTCAAAAATATGAGAAGGCAAAAAAGAGTTGAAGATACACTGTGAGATATAAACAGAAGTACTGGTGGTATAAGATCAATGAATGCAAATTAAGAAATATAGGATCCACTGAACTGTATTTGGTAATTTGAATTTGAAAGCCAAATTATCTTTAGACAAGTCATGGCGAAAGAAATGATAAATTTAAGTTCTCTAGTTTTTTTACTTTGATGAACTTTTCTGGTGTAAGTGATGTCAACAGACGATTTGGAGATTCACCAGAATGTAGCTGTTAGATACAGAGTATTATGCACCTATAGCACATTCTCTCCCACTATATTGCTATGATTATATTGTTAAATTATAGTGCATTCCTTCCTGCTCCACTTTGATGACTCAATTCTTCTTACTGAATTTTAGGCTGTTCTTGAGAAACAAAGTTACATGGTCATTGGAAGATATGACATTGAAAATCTAATGCGACTTCATCCAGCCAGTGCATATTTACCAAGCTCAGTTCGTTATCCAAACTCAGAAAATTATGCTTCTTCTGATGGTAGGGATTACGAGAAGGAAATAAGCGATCTATTATTGAATTTGAGGCCGATCAAACGGGTATTTAACGATTTAAGGCCATTTCATGTAAATAAGTGCAGGCTTAGGACTCTTGACAGCCTTTTATGGTCTTTTAGTTTTGTGCACATTGACATGCTAAGTACATAAAACTAAATAGATATTATCACTTAAGCATGGAAAAGAATATTTGGGGTGTATACTGGGAAAGAAAAGACCCCCCTCCCCCCCGGGTGGGTGGGTGATGGGTGTTATCTGCAAGAAGAAAAATGATTGAGTACAAAAGCCAAAAGGGTAGCATTTTGAATTCTGCGTTTAATGTTGTCATTTGAGAATATCATCATGCCATTTCCTTATTTTCAGGAGAACTTGATTCGCGATGATAACAAACTCGTTCTTTTGGCATCTTTGAGTGATTCACTGGAATTTGTTGCAGACTCTATAGAAAGGCAAGTTATTATTAGCGTATGTTCCTGAAGCTTGATTTGGTTGAAAAATTTAAGTCCTTGCATTTTACTTTTAATGGTGTTATGAGAGAATTTTAGAGGGAAAAGGAATGAAACGCTGTTTTGACATCCGTCCACTTGTCTTCTTAACCTGATGTATGTTCTACTGCACCATATGTTTTTCTATGGAACAGGTTTAATATAAGGCCTAGAGCTGCTGTTTGGGGTTTGGAGGCCTAATGATACACATAAAAAGTGCAATACCATAACTGCAAGTGTGAGGGAAATGAATAGATGGAAATGAATAGCAAGAAACAGGACAATTATGTAGCCAAAAAAAAAAAGAAAAAAAAAAAAAAGAAAAAAAAGAGAAAGTAGTGTTAAGAAAAAGGACACAAAGACTTGTTGCTAAAGGTGAGCTTGGCCTTGATAGTGTTAAGTAGAGAAACATATCTTAACTCTTAAGTGGATGATATATGACTGAATTCTGATTTATTTATTATTCTCAAAGCACCTATTGTATGTACTTGTTAACAATGTTCTGGTGAAGAAAACATAATTGAACAAAAGTCTGTTGAGTATATTGATTATAGTTGTGGTCTCACCATTGTTTTATTTTTTTATTTTTTTTGATATCTTCTTTTAATCACATTTATTCCCAGGCTTGCAAAGATGCACTGCAGAGCATCTGCTCAAGTAGAAGATAGTGGTAGGCAGAAAACTCACCATCACCGTAAGACAACTAGTTCTGTTCCCAAGGATCTGATATCATTTGCTGAGGAGTATAGAAAATTGGCAGTTGATTGCCTCAAGGTTTTGCGTATAGAGTTTCAGTTGGAGACTATTTTCCACATGCAGGTTTATTTGTCACAAATTTTCCATTTGATTCTCAATTTTTAGTGAGACAAGAAATTGATAATATTTGCAACCAATAAAATATATAATTTTGCACAGGAAATGACAATTAGGGAATATCTGGATGACCATGACACAGAGGAGCCTGATGAGTATGTAATCTCATTAACGTCACTGGTAAATGCAGCTCTCTCTAGTGCTCCAGCCGTAGTATTGTTTATGGGGATTATATGTAACTCTTGTTTTTAAGGACTTAAGGTTGTAGGTCTAAAGCATACAATACTATGGAGTGTGTTTAGTTGTTTACAACATTACTCCATTATGTGCATATTTATACTAGTGAATGGATTATGCTAGACTCAACTTAAGGACAAATAATGATCACTAATATAAGTTACAATAATAGGAAACTATAGGACTCGAGGCATGTTTAAACTGGAAAATGTAACTTCCAAGTTATAGATACCTGGGCAGTCTCCACTAAACAGATCATAGCCCTCTTCTGCTACCTCCAATAAGTGAGCTATTTAATTCCTTATAAACCATACTTCCATAGCTCTCTCTATGCATGCGTGACATGACCAAATCCATCAAGTATTCACTGAGATATGAGCCATCAAATTAAAGTCAGTATGAAAAATTGGAAAGTGTTGTTTAATTTCCAACATTTTGTGTCTGGTGTGTGACAGATAACACGGCGAGATGAAGGAATGTTACCTTTCATTGCTGGACCAAAGCGTAACTATATTTTTGGTTCCATATGCATTGTTGCAGCAAATTCCTTCATCAAGGTCTGCATGCCTCCATGTTTTCATTATAGTCTGAAATTTGTTTTTATACTAGGAATGTATTATGTATGTGTATCCCATCTTAATGACTGACAAGCACATTATTGGCTATTAGGCTTTGAATGATATAAAATCTATCAACCTATTTGGGGTTCAACAGATATGTCGCAACTCCATTGCACTGGAGCAGGTTGAGTTTCTTTTTTCTTTTTTTTCCTTCTACTTAATTCTTTTGTTTTTTCCCACTGTTAGGTTTGACAACAATAGTTCTTCCTCACCCACCAAGTAGTTAGCATGGCAGTGCTTGCTTGTGCTACACTATTTTAGCTTCTTGGCTAAGAGGTCTGTTGTTATGCCATGTATGTTCTTAGGCTCTTGCTGCCATCCCCTCTATCGACAGTGGAGTTGTGAAGTCGAGTTTTGAACGGGTCCGTACATATTATGAGCTACTAAACATCCCATTTGAGGTAATTAAAAAAAAAAAAAAATCGTTATCGTTCTTTTACTAGTTAGTTTTTGAGGTGCAATGACCTCCTAATTATGGTTCTATTTTTATACTTTCTAACAGGCCCTAATTGTGTTCGTTATCGATAATGAGCCCATATTTACAAATGCAGAGTAAGTTATGGAGTGACAAAGTTTAAGGTGGTGGGGTTTGAAAAGCATGAGAAGAATTAAAAAGATTTTGGTTGGTGGTGCAGGTATTATAGTCTTCTAAAAGTGCAGGTCCCAGGAAGGGAAATCCCAGTTGATGCAGAGCATCGTCTAGCTGAGATATTGCCCCGCTAGGCATGAGCAATGAAGGATGTTCTATGAATTGCAGGCGTAGACGACGACGATTAAATGATTTGATAATCATGGCAGTGCAGTTGCAGGTATGGATGGATACATGTGTGATCGAGTGGATCTCATCTTTCCATTTATTTATTTATTTATGTTCTCCAAACACTTCTAATAATATAAATAAATAAATAAGCATAGTCCAATGGACAACTTAGAATAATATTTATTTTCTTGCAAATTGCAATCAGTTCACTGAATAAGGCATCCCTCATCATTTGGCATATGCCACACCAGTCTCTTTGTTTGTAAAAAATTAAAAAGACAGGATTTTTAACACAGCTCAACAACTTAATACTTTGTCATTGATAACGCATTCATTAAAAGTTAAAATCCCAACAAGCTATAGAAGTTCTTCGGCTTTGAATTGTAACAATTTCATTAAAGAGTATGATTGAATCTAATTGCAATTGCCCATATGGCCATCATTTTGAAAACACCACATTACAGGCATCAATCCTATCTACCACTGGAATTACCCAAATACATAAACCACCCACCCCCAAATTCAAATAAAATTGAATCTTTATTTAATTTTGATATCATCTGTCGTCTCTTCTTTTCCTGTGGGATTTGGTCTGTTTACATGCCAGGCATTCATCATCATATGAGAACTGACAGATAAACTGAATCCTTAGAATTCTCAAGGACTGTTGCTAACTAGTATATTAGCAATTGAATCCCATCAAAATCTTCAGCAAAGTGTGCTTTTGAAACTAAATCACGCGAGCGTCCATTCAACTTTCCTATTTCTTCCACCCCAATGTCTTCATGTTTCCTGCAGTTAGTTCAACATGCTTCCCGAGCCTGCCAAAGTAACGGTGACTAATACAACACCATGCTAGTAAAAGAAACAAACTGAAAAGACTAAAGAACATCCTCAACGGTGAGAAAGGAGTCATTTTTAGCACATCCTAACTCGACCCCCAAAGGAAAGAAATCCTTCAAAATATTATTTCAAAAAGGCATTGCCAAACAACTTACATAAGGTCTGGTGGAAGCCTGAACCCAGCTATTCGCACACGCTTCAGTGCATACAGCTAAACACCAATTTTTAAAAAACAACATAAAAGAGTCAACTTTTTAATATTGACAACATCAGAATCTGCAACTTGAAGAACATTGGCTATCAATGAACAAAATAAGAGCAACTTTGTAGTTTGGTATTCCATTTTGATTTTAGCAGAACGAGAAAAATTGGTTAGAACAGGCATTAACAACCAAACATACCTGGAGTCCAGCATTTTTCAAAAGCTCCCGAACTTCATGGTTTCTCCCTTCATGGACCTGCTCCATTTAAACAAAAGAAATTCAAACCCAATTATATCAGAGCCTCAAACTACAAGAAAACTGCTTTCTTTGGCTAAAAAATTGTACTTTCTATTTTTTTTTTTTTTTTTTTTTTGGCATTTCTCCCATACACAACTCATCAGAAAACTGTTTTTGAAGCTCACAAGGCAGATTTCATAGCATTTAATGAAACAGAGGCCATAAGGGTCCTGGTATTCAAAGGAAAAGAAAAGAAAATGTGATGTGTCTTTGATAATGCCGCCTACGCAAATTACAAGATAATTAAAAGGCTATAACTATATCTACAACACAAGACAAAAAATAAAAAAAGGTTTAGCTTATCACCTTCCAAAGGGTAAGAAAACGAAAATAGAAAAATCCTTGTAAATTGCCAAGTATGCATCAGCACACTAGGAAATAGAAAACAGTACCACTATACGAAGTCGTGGCCTTGAGATATCAGGTTGTTTTGGTAGTAATTCCACAAGATCTGGGGTACAGTGGACGCCCTCAATGACTGTTCCCTCACTGATGGCAATCAAGTGTCGCTTATTGACTTCACCATCTATTGTTGCAATATATCTGCAACAGTTATAAAGCATTACATCATCCAGTGCAAGATGTGCAAAAACACCCATCAATTTACAGCCGAAAGTCAGAACGTAAACAACAAATTAAGAAAAAACTAAGAGTAGAGAAAAGGAACATACTATAATTGCATGGAATCAAGTTTTAGTCATGAAGCATATGGTATAAAAGTGAGACGCTGCCATACTAAATCCTTTTAGAATTGGACCCACAATTCTCTTATTTTAGCCATTATCTGCAATTTTAATCTCTCCATAACTCTAAATACCATTGTAGTTGGTATGCTTCACCTAATAATTTAACAAAGTCTATGAGATTTGAAAGAGAAATTCCTAATATCTGTTGCAAATATTTCTTGATGCCCTAATAAATGTTTTTTTTTTTTTTAAAGAACACAGACATTTATTTATTACATAAATTTGTATCGAAATGTGGAACACAAGCACATAGGAAAATGGGCATAATTTTATTACGGAGTATTATTATTACTACTGTTGCTGCCAACGATGATACTACTACTACTACTACTGTTAATTTTATTTTTATTTCTAAGAGATTGCCATCTGATATTCTGATGTATGAAAAAGGAAAAAAAAAAAAGAAAAAAAAAAAAAGAGCATAATTATGAAGAGCAAAAACCAAAATAGAACCTTACTCCTTTGATAGATTTGATGAAGGATGCGAAATTTTGTGAGCAAATTCCCCTAGAACAGTACCAGAAACCATGATGGTAGAAATGTGTCAATTTTCTGTTATGAACAAGGAATTTAGGAACCATTTCCCAAGTCAAACATCATATGGCATATATACCATCATTTGTCACAATAATCAAGCCAGTTGTGGCTACATCAAGGCGCCCCACTGTAAATAGCCGTGGCTTGGGTTCTCCTGGATGCCTCTTATGCTGACAGAAAGAATAGAACACATGAAGACATGTCAACAGATTGTCAATAGAGAAATAAGTCTGGATAGCAAAATCTCTAGAGATTACAATATAAACATGTGAGCAAACTGCATTAGGAAGAAGTTTGAATGACTGTCTCATTGTTTTTTTCAGATACACACACACACACAAAATAATACTGTATCAGTTTACCAAGTTACCAACAGACAAGAAATACATACCCAACTCTTCATAAAATCATCAAAAAGATTCATGACCGACTTGGTCTCTTTCTCCCCACATGAACATATGTACCTACATCATTATGCAACTTGCATTATTTCCCGTAGCAGAACAGAACAAAAAACACCAAATAAAAGACACTGATTGGGTCTGGGAGAAGATAAAACTACCCTTTTGGTTTGTTCAATGCAAAGTAAACCTTTGGGGGCAACCTCTTGGATAAACGGTTCCCATTAACATAAATTATATCCTTTTCTGGATTAACCCTAGTCTGCCCATTACAAGAAATAATGTCAATAATATAAATAACCCATGCCACCAACAAAATGCTCCATGTAACACTACCAATGAACTTTACCTGTGGAGTTTTACAAACTGAACCATTTACAGTAACTCGACCTTGAAAAATCAGTTCTTCGCTGCTCCTTCTTGATGCCACTGTTCAACAAAGTTCATATCATAGTTTATTATTTATTTTTTATAAAAAAAAAATATTGGAGATGTTTGGTAAATAGCTGTTAGCTGATTGGATTAGTGGGTTTGACAAGTTGATAGCATTAGTTGATTATTGTAGAAAAGTGTTTGTCAAATTGGCAATTAGCTGATAGCTATTACATGCAAAATGACTTTCTCAAAAAGCTAATTGAAAAAGCTCATTTGAATAGTTTGTTGAATTTTAACATTTTAGAGCAATAAGCTATTACAAAAATCTAATTAATCAAACAATCATATTGATTATTTAACCAAGTCATACAACTAACAATTTGGCTGATAAGCTAACTACATTACCAAACATGACCATTATAGGTTATCCCCAACTAATCAGTAATCACATTATAAAATTTCATTTTCTTCTAGCACAACTACATTGTCGTATACGAAGGGGAGAGATGAACTTAACAGACGCAAAAGCCAAAAAGAAGTTGAAATTGTAACGGCTAAGTATAAACAAAATGGAGCATTACCTCCAGCAGCAGCGAGGATTTTACTGAGGCGTTGTGCAGGGTTTCGAAAATTCTCGTTATAGAACCGGCGGGCAGCTTTCGAATACTTAGGCTCAGTTGAGAGCGCCGCAGGTTTGGATTTAGGAGCATTCTCGCTCTTCATCGTCGTCGTCTTCTTCTTCTTCTTGCTCGTCTTGGCAATGGCCATCGCGTGGAGAAGACTCGCTGGAGCGGGATTCCCTTTCCCATCCCGCACGATCCATGGGGTGTAGAGCTGCTCCTCGGAGTTTGAGGTTGAGGTTATAGGCGGAGGTGAAGGCTTCGGCTTCGGCTTGGGAGGAGCGAAAGTGATGTTGAATTCAGTATTGGCGGAAGTGGAGAGCGAAGATGCGATTACGCACCGGAGACGACAGTGAGTGATGCGAGCAAGCGGAAGTGATGTCGAGAGGTTGAGGAAGGTGAAGGCGGAGGTGGACGCCGCCGCAACCGCCGGTATTGCCGCCATCCGAGCCGGGCCGGAGTTCCGGTAGTTTTATCGGGGCTCAGCTTGTGGGTTTTGGTTGGTTGTCCGAGACCGAGAGAGAGGTTTATACTTTAGATTTTAGAAGATGATGAAAAGGAAAATAACGGATATTATTAACTTATAAGGCAATGGGCTTCAATTGGTATAAAAAGCACAGCCCATTAAAGGGGAAAATTATCCGCATATTAGCCCATTAAAGGTTGCAAGAACCATCTTTGATTCGATTGAGAACAATATTATACCATGGACTATGATTTACTTTACAAGATGGACTATTGATACTGAATATTCATTTTCTAAAGATTCAATTTGTGTGTACTGAAGATTTGTTAAAAAAAAAAAAATTAGTACATTAAAAATGAACATTTCATATATTAAAAACAGACATTTATCTGTGGTCCATAGTATAATTTGCCATTAAGGAGAAGGGATAGGATAATAGACCTGAATCCTACCTAAATAGATCACTGCCATGTATTTTAGACACTTTAGTTCGATTCAAAAGCATTACTATTAAGTCCTAATGCTTGAGTCCTACGAAAATTAACCTAAGGAGTGGTCTCGGTCAGGACTAGATTTTAGACTGTGCAAGCTGAACTACTGCACAGGGTCCCCAATTTTAGAGGGGTCCCAAATTTTAGAGGTCTAATATTTAATTTTTATCTGGCTAGTTTAAAAATAAAAATTAAAAGTTTTTAATTAATTTTAAAAAGTTTTATGAAGAGATGGTAGAAATGTGTATTTATTGTATTTCAACTTGGAGGTCAAAGCTAGGTTCAAAACTTGTATCTACCTAAAATACGGCCCTGGTCTCGGTGTAGTCCCAAAGACCTGATCAACCAAGAGATCGTGTGTCTTCTTGAAAATATTACAGGATGTTAAAGGACGCCTTATTAATGACCATAATATAGCTACCTCTAATTGTAGCTGTTTATTTGCTCAGGGCAATACAACTACGTGTTATAAATAAATAGATGAATAACAAGTACTATAAATTGTTAATTAATTGACTGTGCTCTTTCAGAACAAATTAAAGACGCTATTGAATTCCAAACGACATAGACTTGTGATGTTCTTCTTCACCGGACTTAGCTTGTGACTAGGAAAAACAAGAACCATATATAATGCATGCATGGTTGCACAACTACTTGTCTGCTGTACGTACGCACATTTTATAGAGATGCCGGTCAATCCAAGGCTTTGAAACTCTTACGTTTGAAGCTGTGGCATATATATATAGCCCCTAATGTTGTTTTTGACATATAATATATGCTTCCAGAAGGTTTTTTTATTATTTAATTTGTTCTTTCATTTTCTCCGGCCCATTGATTGCGTGCATATATGCATGCGTTTACTGTTCAATCATTGAATATATATACTCCGTATACTATTTGTTTTCTTGGATTCTCTCTTGCTTACTTCTGAGTGAAACCAATTAGGCAGGCAATTATATATATGTGGTCATGTGGATCTGAGCTGCCCATCCAAACTTTGACCACCCTGCCCTAATGCCCTTCCCTTATTAAAACCATCCATCTCTTACCTATACTTAGTTACTCTGATCTGATCTATATGGGATCAGCAATTATACTGTGGACCAATAAAAAAATCTGAAAATTTTGAGATATCCCTAAAAGAGAACTTGTAAATTAAAAATTATAACACCAATAACATATAATTAAATCCATTATTACTTTAAATTTAAGGGTAAGAATGTAATTTTCATTCATCAATGTTTTAATTTTAAATTCATGCAGACATACACTTTCATGTTAAATCAACCACGAATCGAATATTTTAAGCTTTGATGAAGTGAAAAGGGCTCACAAACCAATCGAATTCTGGAATTTTCTCAAAATTTTAGTTTTTTTTTTTTTTTTTTTTTTAATTATTGGAAGCTTCCATTAGTGGTTACATGCAGCATTAGGTTAGAGAATTGAAGTCAAAGTTGGAGCCCAACCACATTTCCATCAACATCCAAAAGTAAATATAGAGAGGGAGTAGTTGCTTTCCAATAGTTAGACGGTCTGTGTAACACGGTCCAAAAATGACATCTTTTCGTGTAATTTTTTCTTATGTTCCGTTGTAATATATATTTTTATAACTTATAATGTATATTATTTTAATACATAAAATACATTATTCTAACATATTATGTATATTATCTTATTCCATAAGTTTCATTATTTTAACTCATAATGTACATTATTTTAAAACATATAAATGCACATTATCTTACCTCAGAAGTTTTATTATTCTAATACATAATGTACATTATTTTAATACATAATAATATTATTTTAAAACATGTATATTATTCTAATACATAAAATTCAGTGACGTCGTTTTGGACCGTAGTCCACACAATCTTGTGGACTTAATTTGCCGTTGCTTTCCCATTCCCATAGGCCACAGACATGGGGTTAACACGGCTGGAAATATCTACCAAATCCAAACTCATGGTTATCATTACACATAGGGTCAACTTAACTGTCTTTTCCCAATTTATATCTTTGAAATATTTTACACCATTTGATAATCACCAAACATCTTTGTCTTATGACTCTAACAGACCAAAAAAAAAAAAAAAAAAAAAAAAAAAAAAAAAAAAAAACTTAACTAGTCTATTATCATTATTATTGTGTAGAGATATATTTTGATCTTTACACTCATTATTCTCAATAATTTCAAATCCATATTCAAAGCCTTGCAATTTTTTTTTTTTTCAAATCCATATTCAAAGTCTTACAAATTGTTTTTTTGAATGCTACTTAATGAAGGACAAAGAGTCAACAATGCTTGCACTGAGGCTTGATCTCATGACCTTCCACATGGGAAAGGTCACTACATGTCATCCGAGTACAAGGTGCCTGGCCAAAGCCTTACAATTTCAAATCCAGCCAAACAATGAAATTAATATTCCCAATAATTCACCAATCAAAAAATGTAATTGATCTTCCATAAATTCTTTTCTATGAAACTTCAATTCTATTCTCTTCAAATATTTTTCGCGAACTAAACGAGTCGTAAAAGATAATCAGCTCTAACATGTGAGAGCATATGGAATATATAATATATAAAAACACAAATGTGTAATCCTTCACTTATGTAATCTTTGTCACAATGGAAAAACAGACAAAAACTTTGATTTAAACTTTGAATAATCCTTGTGAATTTACAGCTTGATCCATAATCAAACAATGTATTGCTAGTTTGGTACTTTGTAATGTGGCACACTACACAGGCTCTGGTCATCCTTTTTCCTACTCGACCAGGAAGAAGAAAGAAGAAAGCTTACAATATGAATTTCATCCTTTTGTACAGAAACACACTTGATTTTCTAACATTCAACTTTTGTGGCAAAAATCTTAAATATACTTTAAATTATACATACCCTCTTGGAAGCAGATTAAGAGAATTTCATCGTACCAATTCATCGACTCTTTGTTATGAATTAACTGCATCGACTCGTTGGAGGAGCTCCAACACGCTTCCCGCTTTTCGTTTCGCCCTGTCTGTGCCATTTTCCGACAGTTCTTTTAAAACTTCTTCTGCTCCAAGATCCCGGGCTGCTTTTAGATTCTGTACGTCACCTGCACAGAGAGACCACAAAACAGCTGCAGCGTTCTCCCGGTTGCGAGGGGAGCCTGTCCTGATTACCTCGACTAGAGCTGGGAGTGGGTCCGCTTGACTAATTGCGGCTTTCCCCTCTTGATGGCTAGCAAGTATTGCCAAAATAGCGAGTGACTCGTCCATCATTCCACCCCCGGGATCTTTGAGTAATCTCATCAGCGGTGGCACAATCCCGGCCCTTACCGCTCTCACTTTGTTCCCTTGATAAATCGAAAGGTTGAATATGGCAGTTGCTGCATCCTTCTTCCCCCTCGGAGTCCCGTGACACAGCAAATCGATAAGAGCCGGGATGGCCCCGGCTGCCCCGATTGCCACCTTATTTTCATCAACAACTGATAAACTGAAGAGAGTTGCAGCTGCGTTTTCTCGGGCTTCCGGGCTGCCATTTCTCAGTACATCGACGATATCAGGTATGGCACCCGCATTTACGATAGTGCCCTTGTTAGCCTCATTTATGGACAGGTTAAGAAGCGCAGTAACAGCGTGCTCCTGTGTTCTTGAATCTGACGAGGAAAGTAGTTCGACTAGCAAAGGAATAGCCCCGGCTTCTGCAATACAGACCCTGTTATCCGCGTTTCTTTTTGCGAGCAAACGGAGCTCACCAGCAGCTGCCCTTTGCTGCTCGGGATTACCATTTGCGAGTTTCTGTAACAATGCATCAATGGCAGCCCGGTCACAGTCTGAGCCACCCGCCCCTGACCTTTTGTTCCGACAACTACCTTGATTTTTAGGAAGCTCAACGCCATTGCTTTCGCACCACAACGCAATTAGACTCTTCAAGACATAGTTGGGCGTTAATGCTGTGTGCAACAAGGTCTGTTGTGTCTTAGGGCACGTTTTGTGCCCGGCATCCAACCATTTCTGTATGCAAGACCTTTCGTATGTCTGCAATATGTAGGGACAAAAGTAAAACGACAATTAGATATAACATATACACACAGATTGAGTTTAGACCGGGAATGAAGAATTGAAGCATGTGCTCCATCTCAACTAACACGTCGAGATATTCAAACCCATGACCTTTGGTCTGACTCTGATACCAAATTGAAGCATGTGTTCCATCTCAACTAAAAGCCTAAGCTGATAGTTGGATTGCACATTAATGGTTATATGCTCAACATGAAGGCACCATACCTGGCCAGTAGATACAATAACGGGATCTTTCATCAACTCAAGTGATATCGGACACCTGAAATCATCCGGTATGACTGGAGATCTGTGCTTAATCAAAGCTTTTTCGTTCTCAGGGGCATCACTTTCAGGATTTCCCGTCATAACACAGTCCTTTATTTTTCTCAGAATAAACGACACAGACTCAAAGCACTCCTCGGGAATTCCATCAGACGAGATGACCATATCATGGATGGAAATCGATTCCTTCTTAAGGTCGTTTATGGTCCTGAGATGCAACTTTTCCGATAGCCGTTTAAAGATTATAGGGTCAGGATCTTTTTCTCTTTGTGCCATGGCTAAATCAATTGCGAGTTGTAAATCAGGTGAGTCCATCCTCCCGACCGCTCTTTTGAATTGAGCATGCACAAGTTCAATCTGAAACGAAGGCGTGTGAAAAATAGTTGGTTAGAAAGCAAACACCAATTTGTACTTCCGAATGCAACTTAATTCTTCAAACGAAAATGAATAAATGGGTACTTGCTCTCGAACTTCCTCTGATATATCAAGTTTATCATAAGGAATGTGACCTAGTGCATCTTCTATCTCTTCTGTAATATGATGAAACTTGCCTGAAATTTTATCTATTTGCATAGCCTGCAACAGGAAAAGCACACAACGCATTTAAAATAAATCCTTCTCGAACCAAAATTAAACAACAACGATGCAGTGGATAACCAAATATAGATGAGATGGAATCTAAAGAATGACTAAGTGATCCAATGAATCAATAATGCTTGAAGTACAACAACACAACTTGAAAACTACAATATTCAATCACGTAATCTCCAAGAACTAAAAGAACTTTTGTATCATGTAGACCCATGAAAAATTAGATGGCATACCAAAAGTGAACTTGAAGTATCACAAAATACCAATTCAATTATTATTTTTTTTTTGGGATACATTAGGTTTCCCAACTTATGCCAGACTAATCCCCCTCAAAACCCCTGCCCAAGAGCCACTTGAGGAGGTAAATCGCGAGTCACCCCGTGAGTCCCGAGGTTCCCACCCCTTGCCTATACACTCTACACCTAAGGAGTTTTCATCACCTGATCGGTCCCCCAGGTTCCCAATGGGATTCGAACCCCACACTGTTGCTGGAGCAAGACTTTAGGGTGATCGATCGATCGAACCAGTGCAATTAATTGCCAATTTTGACATGAATTTATGTAATATCCAAAAGAGGAGTTCAAGTTTATCCATTTTTTGGTTTAACTAACAGACTTCATTCTTCAAGCTAACCACAATTTCATAAACTTTCCAGAGTCCTAACAAATACAGACAAGAACCAGAATTTATGAAACATTCATCCCTGCACAAATTGTCCAGTGTCCTAAACTACACAAATAAGAACCAGAATTTATAAAACAGACATCCTTTGACTCCTTTCATTAAGGAAAATGGGATTATCTCTGGACGAACCACAAGCAAATAGCAACAAGTCAAGCTTAAGCTATTTTAGACAGATTGAAAGAATTCATTCCAATTCTCATTTCTCAACAAGCTATAATTTAAGAATCTATAATTTCCTAAACATATTCTCACTCACCATATGATTAGATGAATAGCAGCAACTTAAGGGGATAATCAAACTAAAAATTTGTAGAGAATAAACTAAAAACTGTAAAAAGTGATACCTGAAAAATCTTACTGCCCTCGTGGACTGATTTAAGAAGCTCTAGAGCTGAGCCAAGAGCGAGCCTCAACAACTCAAGCCCGTTAACGACGTCGTCTCCGAGCTTATCTCCGTCATCACTATCCTTCAAATCCTCAAACAGAGGACTCAAAAGCTTCACCCTGCGCACCAAATTACTGTACATCTTTTTGGAGACCGTCTGGCACTCGGGCAACGATGAAATGGCCGCGATTAACTCGGTGAGTTGACACAGTAGAGCCTCCTTTTGAGGATCCATATTGCGTTCTAACCAAGACTTCAAGAGAAGCTTGAAAAGTCGGGTTTTATACGGTTCGTAGGCACCCGGTTGGCTCAATTACGCGTTCTCGACGAAGGCCGGGTTGACTAAACAACCCTAGAAATTGGGTGAGAAATCAACAAAAAAAGCTTACGAATTTGGGTTACCTGAGCTGATTTAAAAAAACCCAGACGCAAAAATTGGTTGAATTTCAAGAATTTGGAGAACAGAAATCAAATGTACGTGTAAAAATCGCGAGAAAAGAAACCAATCTTTGATAGAGAGAAGGAGGAAGAGAAAGAGATGATTTTGAAAGAAAGTTTTATCAAATAATTAAAGAGGAAAGTAGCAAAATCAAATATAAAGATTATAATTTATACTAATAATGATGAGATCAATAAAATAATAGAAAGATGATTGCTGCGTTCTCGTCTGTATAATAATGTGTCAATGCAGCCAACGAAACAGGGAAGAAAGATCCAAGAGCAGCGTATTTTGTGAATGATTGGCTCGTTGTTTACATTATTGCCCTTAAGGTTTGGAATAATATCATTATTATTTTAGAAATATATTTTTGTAACTAGTACATGCTTTTAGGGTGGGTTTGAAAACTTTAAAAATATTTTTTTGAAAAATGATTTTTCATAAAATAACTTATTTTAAAAAAATGTTGTAACTTTTTTGTGTTTAGTGTCCGTTTGGAAAGTAAGAAAATGACTTCTGAAAAATGAGTCATTTTTCAAAAAATATTTTCCTTTCTCGTGTTTGGTTGCATAGCAAAAAACTGTATTTGTGTGTTTGGTTGATTTTCTGGAAAATGATATAAAATTGTATAATTAGATATTTTATATAATTAATTATTTTGTTTAAAATATAAAAAATTTATAATAATATTATAAATAGTAATATATTTTTTAAATCACATAATATTATTTATTAAAAGATTACAAAAATGAAAAATAAAAAAAAAAAAGAAAAAGAAAACGATGGAAACCAGAGAGCACTACTTACTCTCTGGTTTCTGGCTGGAAACCAGAGAGCACTGCTATCTGGTGTGTGGCCATAGACCAGAGAGCACTGCTCTCTGGTGACCGGCCAGAAATCAGAGGCAGCTGATTTTCCTTCCGGAAGGCAAAGAGCACTTCCGGAAAATGACTTCCCCAAAAAAGGGAAGTCATTTTCCGGAAAAATGGTGTGATTTTTCATTGACTGGAGCTGATTTTCCTTTGACTTTCCATTTTCCTGCCTAGCCAAACACCAAAAACTAGGAAAAATAATTTTCAGAAATCATTTTCCGAGTTTCCAAACACACCCTTAATTCATTTTCTATAAATGAACATACTATTTGGTATATAATAATAATAATAATAATAATAATAATAATAATAATAATAATAAAATAATACTAATAATAATAATATTAAGTGGTGGTGGTGGTGATGGTTGTATGGTAATGATGTTAATAGTGGTGGTAATGGTAATAATAATTTAAAAACTAACTTGCAAAGAAATGAGATAAAATCCTTTCAAAAAAAAAAAAAAGAAATAAATGAGATAAAATGTTACCAATTCAACATGTTGCATATCTGGAAAAAAGAAAAAAGAAAAAAAAAAAAGGTCAGTGAGCTAATATCACTTTAAGTGAGTAATAAATCTCAATTTCCTTGATTTTTTTAAAAAATAGATTCTTTTTTGTAAATAGAAAATAGATTAAATTAATATAAATAAATAGATACATTGACAACAAATTGAATGAAATTATTAGCATAAAATGAAATTATAAAATTGACTAACGAAATATGACATGACAAAATTAATTGGACAACAAAATATAAGAACCAATTAATATGTTAATATTATTTGTTCATCTTTTAATTTGTATTATGTTAACAATGTTATAATGGCAAATGGGGTATTTTTGTCTATAAAAATGTAATGTGCAGTATTTTAAGGATCATATACAACTTTGTTCCCTTTCAAAAAATATACAACTTTGTTCCTTTCAATATATATATATATATATACAACTTTGTTAATTGTTAGTACCAAAAAAAAATAAAAAATGAATGGTATAATCTTGAATGACTTGATTCACACATAAATAGTTTTAGAGTAATCTACCTTTGAGTTTTAACCTTTAAAAAAAAAAAAAAAAAAAAAGAAGAGAATAGTATTTGTTTTTTTTTTTTTTTTTTTTAAACAGTATTTGATAAATTTAGTAACAAATTATAATTAAACATAATTATGTGAACTAATTTAGTGCTTAATTTAGGGCGTTTGGTTGGAGGGATTTTAAATTTCCTTCCCACTTAATTCCCACCTAATTTCAAATGCCATTAAATTCTGTAGTTTGGTGGGCGTTTGGTTGGAGGGGGGACTTATGTGGGAAAAGAATTGTAATTTTATGGGAGTTGAATTACTGGGAATAAAGTGGGAATTTAAATTCCAGTGTTTGGTTGACAGGAATAGAATTATTGGGAATTTCAATTCCAATGTTTGGTATACATGAGAATTGAAAGGGAATAAGTAGTATAAAGTCAAAAATGTCCATTATTGTTGTAAGACATTAATTTTAGGTTAAAAAAGGAAGGGGTAATTTTGACTCGTCACTATCTTTTTTTCCCAGGAATTAAAATTTCAGGGAGGATATGGGATTTTAATTCCATGAAAATGGGAGAATTGCAATTCCATGAAATTACAATTCCCTCCAACCAAACTACGAAATTTAATAACCTTTGGAATTAGGTGGGAATTAAGTGGGAATGAAATTTAAAATTCCTCCAACTAAACACCCTGAAACGGTGTAAGGCAATTTGTCTAATAAAAATAAAAATATAAATATATATAATATTTATAGCGCAATGTAGAACTTGATAAATATAGAAATATGGACACAAATCATAGTACTAGTAACTGGAAATCACTATTGTTAAAATTTTAGATTATAATATCAGGAAAATGGCAGTTTTTCTCACTAAATTATATGTTTATAATACATTTTTTCTCTGAATTATTCATGTAAGTATATTAACCCTCTCAATTATTCTAAACGTGACGATTTCTCCCCCCTGATATATTAAATTGACATTTCTACCCTTAAAGTAAACATTTTATTTATTTTTCTTCTCCGACAAATTATTGCTTATACGTAGGGATGACCACGGTTTGGTTCGAACTGAACCGGACACTATAGCAATCGAATTGAAAGTTTCCGGTTGTGATTCAGATCCAGAACTCAATATTTGAATTTCAGTTTATTAAAATTATGAATTAAAAAAACTGGATCCTGAACTGTGAACCGGCAGTTTCGGATCCGGTTCGCGATTTTGAACCGTCTTTATTTTAAAATAGTTTAAATCAACAATAAATGTTTTTTTTTTTTTTTTTCCGTTCGGAACATGAACTGGCCATTCCGGTTCGCGATTTTAATAACCTCTAACAGGGCGTTTGGTTGGAGGGAGGGAATTATGTGGGAAAGGAATTGTAATTCCATGGGAGTTGAATTACTGGGAATAAAGTGGGAATTTAAATTCCAGTATTTGGTTGACAGGAATAAAATTACTGGAAATTTCAATTCCAATGTTTGGTATACGTGGGAATTGAAAGGGAATAAGTAGTATAAAGTCAAAAATGTCCATTATTGTTGTTAGACATTAATTTTAGGTTAAAAAAAAGGAAGGGATAATTTTGACTCATCACTATCTTTTTTTCCCAGAAATTAAAATACCAGGGGGGACATGGGATTTTAATTCCATGAAAATGGCGGAATTGCAATTCCCTCCAACCAAACTACGGAATTTAATGGTCTTTGAAATTAGGTGGGAAGGGAATTTAAAATCCCTCCAACCAAACGCCCTGTAAATACCGGGTTTCGATTCTAAATTGTAATTGAAAATTCCGGTTTGGTTGCTATAGTGTCTGTTCGGTTTGAAACAAATCGTGGTCATAATTTGTTGGAGAAGAAAAATAAATGAAATATTTATTTTACGGGTAAATATGTCCATTTAACATTTCACGGTGAAAAACAACCACTTCAAGGAGATAAAAATATTATAAGCATATAACTTAGGAGAACAGAAAATGTTATTTTCCCTTATAATATCTATATATACTCTAAATTTTTTAAATAATATTTTTATCCTTTAATTATGACAATATAGACAATTTTGTTAATCATTCTTACACATTTCATCCCCTTAATTATTTATGTGAGAGATATTTTCTTTGAAAGAATAATTCACACAATTAAAAGCATGATATTATACCAGATGGGGTCCTTGATTATTACGATTTCTTTGTAAAAGTCATTTGATTAATTTTTTGCTCGATTTAGTCTCTTAACTATGAAAACGTTACCTAAAGTAATCTTTTGTTAGATTTTATGTTAAATCTCCGTTTGACAAAGGGATATTCTCGTCTTTTCAATCTGAGAACGTTTAATCAGCTCAACGGCAGCATCGGAGGTGCGGCAGATCGTGGCCGTCAAAAAGTCCCAAGCTTGAACCGTCCAAATCCATACAACGGGTCGGGGCATATTCAATAAACAATGAGGTACTTTGTTTAGGAATCCATCTATGATCAACCAACAAAGCGAAATTACTACATCTCTTGATATCGTTGTGGCCGGCGCTCTGGATTCCTGAATTCTTGAAATTCGCGATGTAGGATGTCAAACCAAAGGGGACAAGAGGGAGTTTCAAAATAGTCGACGTCGTAGCATCCTCCGGTCAATCCGGTGCTGATGTTGTCGTCGCTGCTGCATATGGCGGTGCAGTCGGCGAGGACGATGGAGTTCTTAGTGAGTAGGGAAGGGAATTCCCCCGTGCATCCGTTAAACAAGAATTTGTTGCGTAATTTGGAGTAGTAAAAATGGGTGCCGGATTGGACATATTGGGTAAATTTTGTTTTTGTACAATAGCCAATAAATCATACAAGAGAGTTAAACCACACTAAAAATTCTCAATGCAACGAGCTCGAACAAAATAATGTTAATAAGAATCAAATTTGTAACATTTAAGTACAAAAATCATGTTCCACCCAAGTAGGCGTCTCTTATGAGCTTATAATATTTTACTCATGTGATAATGTGAGTCACATATTGACCATAAAAAAGTTCAATTTTGAAAAATAAGTTGGAATTTTTAGAACTTTTAAAACCAATTTGAATGAAGTACAAATGTTTTCTTTTGATTTTTGAGAACATACATATATACATTATGATTCATATCAATCATATGCAATTTCTTCGATATTTTAAACATTTGAAATAATAAATACATAAAGAAACAAAGTTTCAAACTCAAAAAATAACTATTTCTAAGCCAGAAAACATAAACTTCAACCCTACAAACCA